CTGGAAATAGCCCAAATACAAGTTGGTTTCAGACATAGACCCTGCACTATGGAGGCAGAGACAAGAAGATCTCTGGGGCTTGCTGACTAGCCAGGATAGTCTAGTCAGAAAGCTGTAGGTACAGTGAGGAATTCTGTCTCAAATTAATGTGGAAGGGCCAGACAGGGCGGTGCATTCCTTTAATTCCAGCACTTGAGAGGCAGGTTAGTCTCTATGAATTAGAGGCCATCCTGGTCTACACAGAGAGAATTCCAGGCCAGCTAGAACTATGTAGTGGAAATCTGTGTCAAAAAGAAAAATATGAGTGACTGGAGAGATGGTTCAGTGGTTTAAGAGTACTGGCTGCTCTTGCAGAGGACATGAGTTCAATTCCCAACATCTACATCAGGCAGCTCAGTCATCTGTAACTCCAACTCCAGGGAATCCAGTGCCCTCTTGTGGCCTCTGTGGGCACCCATACACACAGACAAACGCATATCCACACTCAAATCAAAATAAAAATAAAATGGTGCTGGAGAGATGACTCAGAAGTTAAGAGCACTGGCTGCTCTTCCAGAGGTCCTGAGTTCAGTTCCCAGCACCCACATGGAAGTTCACAATGTCTGTAGCTCCAGTTCCAGAGGATCTGACACCTTCAAACCAATGCATATAAAATAAACTTAAATAAGTTATTATATAAAATGGAGAGGAATTGAGGAAAACACCAACATTGCTTTCTGGCCTACACACAAATGTGCACATACCTGAACACACATGGACATGCATACACAAACGCACACACACATACACACACACACACAAAATAAGTAAATTAGTAAACAAATAAGCAAATAAACAAATAAATAAATGGTGCGTGTGTCAGGGCATGACAAATACAAATGTTCAATAAATGCTGTTTGTCATGTGGCTAGGTCTGGGGCAGCCCCATCTCCAAACCTGTCATCAGAGGAACTAGTTGTGAGCTTCAGATAACACCCCCATACTTTACCATACTATGCCTTAGAGCTCGTCACACTCTTCCTGTAAAGGCCAAAGAGTAAATGCCCAGTCACCCCTAAACTCTGCACTGGGAACTTCCAGCAAACATTCCTTGCCCAGTCCTTTGTCATAAGCAGTTAGTTCCTTCAATGGTCACCCTCTCAGGGTCTCTATTCCTGAGCATCCCACTCAAGGGAGCATCTCCTGCCCCTATAGGGGCTGGTGGGTCCCGTCAAAGTTTCTAACCATACTGTGTATTCACTGTCTGTCTCTTTACTCCATAACGGCCAACACTTGGCTTTCTCTTTTTGCTGCTGCCGCCACTCCAGTGTCCTTACCTTAGACACTCAGTGAATGCTGTAGAAGGGCAAATGAGTTCATAACCTCAATATCTTAGTGTCTTTTAAAAAACGTCGGTTTGTACCTGAGCAATTATTTTACTGCTTATTATGGTTATGACTCTTATCATCATCATTATTATGGGTGAGGGAGGGCTGCATGGCCACAGTGCCTTGGGAGGGCAAAATCCCCCCCCTCATCCCCCCCCCCCCCCCCCCCGTGAGTTCTCAAAACTCAGGCTGGCTTTTGTGTCAAGCACTTCCCTACTGAGTCATCGCAATGGCCCTCTTAGTTTCTTTCATACAATGACTTCATAATACCTGGTCTCCTTGCCTTGCAAAATTGTTACCAAGATCAAATGAAAACAATTTAGTTATGCTGCATTACATAAATAAGAGGATGGGGTGGATCATTCGAGTAACTTTCTAAACAAAACACATACTTCAATCATGTGTGGTGTGCATTGTCTGCAGTATCAGCACTCAGGAAGTTGAGGCAGGGGGATAGTATGTTTGAAGCCAGACTAGGCTATATGGAAAGAGCCTGCCTCAGATAAACTCCCCAACCTCAACAACAATAACCACGACAAGATCCCTACAGATGCTAACCGACACATCAACTTTCCCCATTCTTTCTACAGCAGCTCACTCACAGAGAAAAGAGACATTATCTGTATAAATGAGGCCTTCATCCCTCACCCCTCATACCTCCAGGCAACTGGAATAGTCCATGAGTTTTATCTTGGCCTTGGAAAAGCAGTTATATATGTATTAGAATTTAGCGTTTTGTTATTATTGGCATATGGTATCAAGTATTTTATATCCCATCTGATTTTTTCAAAGCATGCTGGTAAAAGAAAGAAGGAAGGAAGAAAAAGGGAGGGACAGAGGGAGGAAGGAAGAATAGGGGAAGAAGGAAAAAAGGGAGGGACAGAGGGAGGAAGGAAGGGTCATTATTGAGCTCCCTTAGAGCTGAGGTGAGTTGGAGGCATGCAGCAGCCAATCTGAGCCAGTATCCCGCTCAGCTTTGGTCCTAGAAGCATCACCTTCAGTAGCTTGGCCTTCTTCCCCAGAGACAGGCAGACCTTGTAGACTGCCCCCAAGAATTCAGGGACAACCAAAAGCGGAATAAACCCCGACATCTTATCCTGGCCAGAAGCAAGCCGTCTGGGGTTAATGTATGCATTTCTGGAAAATGCAGTATTCTCTTTTGAGAGGAAGATGTTTTTTGGTGGGGGAAAGGTCCTAACACAAGGCCAAAACAAACCCCACAAACAACGACCCGAACCCACACGAACAAGAGAAGCACGGCATTTTGCTGACGTCAGCCTAATGCAAAGCACGCTGACCGATTTTTTTTTCTTCTGGTTGTGCAGCTAGCTTTTGCACATATCACAAAAGGGCAAAATGAGCTTGGGAACCTTTCAAGCAGAGAACAGCTGCAAACCAGCCAGAAAGTTAAACATAACCCAGTCTTTTGTGTATACTCCAGGTTAGCTGTTACGGTTCCTCAGGGAGTGGACCCCGCCAGTGTTGCGGATGGCTGTGTAGATGAAAATCTGTATTCATGTCCTGAGTACACATTTGCTTTCAAGGATTATTTAAAAATCTTATTAGCTTAACATACAATTCAGAAGTGGAGCCTATGTACATAGCAGGTAGTGTGAGCTAGATTTGTGACACCCCCCTATGTCTTTCATATTTTTGCTTGGTGGATGATGCTTGGCACTGTAAGCATTGAGGCTCAGATGGACAGGGATTCTGGCACTTAGGAGCCAAGGAATACTGAGTGTTATAGCTTGGATGGAAAAGTATTCTGGCAATCTGGAGCCAAGGTATCTCACAGTAAGTGTGGCATCTTACAGCTCTGCTCCAGGAAAAGGCCTCCCCAGTGTAACAGCTCTGTTGGGGCAGGGGAGGGCTTCCCTGGCGAAGTTGTTACAGTTTGGCTCAGGTCTCCCCCCAGATGTCCCCTCCCTCCTCTGATCAGCTAGGGGAAGTGTTATAGCCCTGCTCCACTCTGGTTCATGTGAAAAGTTGTTATTTCTCTCCTCCCCTCCATTCCAGCGAAGAAAGGTCTCAACCAAACCTCATTCAGGAGACTTATTGTGAGGGAAGAATCTAGGAGAGTGGCTGTCTCTGCCAGGGTGGAAGAGGACAGCAGCAAACCGAACAGGCACAGCATTTATATAGAGATTCTTAGGGGCGGTGTTTTTCCAGGGACTGGTTGGTTTTCTGCTCAGGGATTGGTTGGTTTTCTGCATAGTTGGTCAGGGGCAGATTTGGCTCTGGTTTCAGGGCATAAGTGTTCCCCCCCCCCACTGGCCCTTTTTAGCTTTTTGACTCCAATTTCAGGGCCAGGACATATTTTTTTCACTGGCTCTGATTCTATGGCCAAAGTGTGTTTCTTCGGCACTGGTTTCAGGGTCAGAGTGCATTTCTCCGGCACTGGTTTCAGGGTCAGAGTGTGTTTCTTCGGCACTGGTTTCAGGGTCAGGGTGCGTTTCTTTGGTTCTGGTTTCAGGGTCAGAGTGCGTTTCTCCGGCACTGGTTTCAGGGTCAGAGTGTGTTTCTTTGGCCCTGGTCAGGGTGTGTTTCTGTGGCTAGCCCTTTTCCCCACTCCAGGCACACCACCGCTTCTTGGAGTGGTCATTGATGGGGAATTATGCCAGTGGGGTTCAGAGCTGCCCCCTTCAAATATTTTACTTTGGTATAACTGAGGATTGTTAAGACAGGCGTTTGAAAATGACAGCAAGGTCACTCCTACCACCCATGCCATTTTCTCCCAAAGCAGGTCATAAAACTTACAAAGGATGCTCCGAGTCACTACCCCCAGTAGGCCTCCTGTGGGAGGGGGCTTTCTTGTCTCTGATGATAGAGGGAAACTAAGGAGAAACCAAGCAGATGGCATAGCTGCCAGCAGCTTGTCACAATTTGATCATATTTTTTGCCCTGTCATGTTTCTCCACAACCATCCATTTGCCCTCAGACTTAGCATTGAAACATTTAGGCTTTAGCCTTGTGTGGTGGTGTGTGTCTGTAATCCAAGCCTTGGGGAGTGGGCTATGTGAGTTTCTATGTCAAAAACGTAACTAAAACCACTTATATACATGAATATTGTTAGGGTTCATTGTGTTGTGAATTTTGGGTCTTCGCCACTTTATGGAGCTTCCCATGTGATATAAAAGTTAGATCTGTCTATTTTTCTCTTGTTATTTTGATTTTGTCACAGAAGCGTTGGCCCTGATCAGTTGATGGGAAGGTGTTGTGTCCCCTGTGGTTTGCCTAGGATAAACTGGAGGCATGCTCTTTCAGTGCCCTTTGTGTTTGTGCCTCTCCATCTGGATGCCTCACCAGAAAGGATGAAGAGAGCCACAGAGCCACAAAAGGACCCCCCTTTCCATCAGCAGCTAGCATCTCTCTGACCCTCTGCTTTTTCTGTTTTTGGTGGGGGGGGTTTGAGACAGGGTTTCACTGTGTAGCCTTGGATGTCGTGGAACTAGCTCTGTGGACCAAGCTGACCTTAAAATTAAGGAGCTCCACCTACCTCTGACTCCTGAGTGCTGATATTAAAGGCATGGGCCACCACCACCCAGCTAAGACTCACACTCTCAATGGACACCTGCACAGTGACAGTGACCACAGTGCCATCGAAGACAGGACAGGAAGAGACCACGCTCAGGATTTGGTTTGCAGTTGCTCTGGATCGACTGAGGACACGGTTTCTTTTTATTAAGTCATTTATGGACCATTTCAGTGGATGTGGCCCTGGAAAGCAGTGAATTGATCACAATACTGTCACAGCTCTCTCCGGAAGATCAGCTTCTCAGCCAGCAAGCACAAATGCCACAGGTAGTGTACAAGGAATTTGGCAGTACAGCTAGGTGTGGTTTTCTCCCTCTTTTTGTGATTACAACCCCCCCTAATAAATACACACGGATCGCACAGAAAAGAAGGGATACAAAAGCCTCAGAAGTGAGAAAGAAACAAACACGCCTTCCCAACACGGCAGGCTCAGAATGGTGGACGCATAACTCAAAGGCTCTGGGATGCTGTTCTCAGTGGCAACCAAAGAACCAGTATCCATTGCTTTCATTATACACATGTATTCCATACAGAGTCCATGAAGGGTTGAACAGCTGCAAAATTTCCGTGCAAGTCATGGCGGTTAAGGAGTACCAGGCAAATATCTGTGAGAACTGTCTATTGTTTGATTACTAGTGACTCTAATATTCAACCTACACATAGCAAACCTAATACTTTACATATGTAATGGTCCAGTTATTTCTTCTGCACCGAGAGACAGTGCCCACAGACACTTTCCCAGAAACCAATGGTGAAGTGTTACAAAAGCAAATCCAATTTTAGTCACGTGCTTGAAGATGAAAAGCACCCACTTAACAAGCCCATCTCCATCACCTTTGTACCACAGACGTTCACCTAAACAGGTGTTTAAGCCAGGCTGTCTCTGTTCTCCTTGTCAGTCTTTCCCCTGCAGCAGCATAGGCTGGTCATACTAGACCCCTCCTTTTCCCTCACTTGGCATGTGCCGGATTACAATTTAAATGCAAATCTCCAGGAGTCTCGTTATCCAACCTTGTGCACATTTGGTACAGTTGACTGTGCCGACCCTGCGAAGCTTAGTGGGAGGCTCATCTGTATTCTTAACACACGGACATCCTGACAGTAGACTCAAAAGAGCAATTCATCATTGGTGTGAAATTAAAGCCAGCGCCTAGGTTACAGAGGAATGGCATTCTCGGAGCACAGAAGCAAACTTCTACAAAGGCAGCGAGATAGGAATGTCTCTCCCTGTTGCCACTCACTGAGTCCCCCACGGCATTACATACTTGGAATAAGAAACCTCATTTTTGCAGGAATACAGCTTGCAGAGTGGAAAAAGACACATCCAAGGCGGTGCTACACACAGCAGGAAGACCATTTACACATATTCCGAACAAAACCGGCAAGAAAATGACCAACAGCGACTTACCAAACCCCCACAGCTCCAGAAGGCACACTTTTATTTATTTATTTATTTATTATTTATTGCAAAATCATCTTTCAAATATAAGGTTACTTTAAAATAATTCTTTGGTTAAAGTATAATTAAAATAAGAAGTAGAAAGTCTCCCAGGCCTTCACTAAGGGATAAAAAATAACCTCCTCTCTCAGCCATCAGATGGCCACTTAATCAGCCATTCAGATTGCATGAGTCTGAATGCAAAGGGAAAGACACACTTATCTGAATGCTATTGTCACCGTGAGGTGAAGCAAAGGGCTCCTCATGGCCAAGCATCGATGGTGAGGAGAGCCTGGGAAAAGGACAGCCCCCAGCGAGTGCGCGCACTAACATGCACCAATTATTCCAGTCGGCACTCAGAGGAAATTACAGGGACAAAGTCCTACCCAGGAAAAACACTGGAGCATGTGCACACTTGTGAAGATAGGTCACCGTTTAGACATGTAATGCCACAGTCAGCCCTTTCACTAATTTCTTTTCCCTTGGTGTATTTCAGGTATCAGACAGCTTTCCAACACTTACAAAAAGGGGGAAGGGCATGAACATTTTCTCTTGATTATTTTTTTCTGTCCTCTGCTCGACTCATTCTCAAATATCATGTGAGCTAATAAGCGTGAGCTGCAGATCAAAAAGAACTAGCCTCGACTCAGGGCCACTGCCAGCACAGAACTTCTGTATGCTTATGAAATGGGATGGTAGAGATGTTTCTTTACACACAGATTCAGGGTGATTCGAAGGATCACCCAGCTGGACCCCATGGTTAATTTTTGAAGTAGGCAAACGTGCAATGTTAACTGAGTACGGATCACCCAGCCAATGTGATAAGCAATTTGGTTAATTAAACTGTTCTGTACTCAAGAGTTTTCCACTTAAAGTTATCCAGAAACTTACTTCAGATCCTGCCCCCTCTGGCTCTGTCAGAATCACCCAGGACTCTGTCTATATTGGATTAAGGACAATGGAATGCGGCCCAATCAAAGTGCTTCATTTACCTAGACACTTAAAACTAAGACAACGAGAGAGAGAGAGAGAGAGAGAGAGAGAGAGAGAGAGAGAGAGAGAGAGAGAGAGAGAGAGAGAGAGAGAGAGAGAGCAAGCCTAGGAAGACCTGCTTTCACAGTCACTTCTTCAGAGTGTCAGGGAAATCTGATGATTTGCTGGGAGCACCCAATCTGGAGATGCAGTGGCGAATCATTTTGGATCTGAGTGAACGGTGGGTTCACTTCACTACAAATGCCAGAAGATGAGTGACAGGGACATTACAGTGGCTGCACTGTGACTTTCCCTTTGCGACTTCTAATCGGAGTCTTTCCTCCAAGATATTTTAAGGTTAAAACATAATTGATGTGTCACCATAGGGTTACATTCATGCTGGAAGCTGGGCCCATGTTCTTTCCATACTAGCAAAAAAAATCACAGCTTATTTATCAAAATGTAAAGCTGATGACATATATCTCTAAGTGTCTTACATGCCACACAGTGAACTATCTCATACCAGGCTTCTGTCTGTGGCCCTAGTGTCTATTCACACAATTAAATAGACATTGATAAGTGACGTTTTGGTTTGATTGTCATTTATTCTTTTTTTAAATACACACATTCTGTCTAAATACATGAAGCGGGTGTGATGGGAGTCCACAGAAAGGCTGTGTGACTCTCGACTCCCTTCCAGCAGCCCTACCTTCCATCCATCTTAAATTATCACAGAAAAGCAAACAAAGAGGACAGCATACGGAGCAGTGCGGTTGTGACGGCCGTCATTCAAGTCAGACCCCTGACTTCCTTAGACAACCGACAACTGGTTTACCTACAGATGCTCTGCTACAGTTGACACAGACTGCATGTGTACAACTCGACCATCAGTATAGCTTCTAGAAATATCCATATTGCACAGAAGGAGTTTCTTGCTGACCCAAAAAATGAATGGAACATCCATCCATCCAGATCTCAATCTCCTTAACTGCTTAACACAGTCTAGAGCCTGGGTGGACAGATCTTGATTCAAACTGGCTGAGAGATCTCACAGCTCACTGGGCTTGGCAGGGGTAATTTCAACTTGATTAATATTCTGCAAGTCTCCATACCTCCCATTCAATATGTCCTCCATTTTCTTTATTTCCCCCTGAGTATCTCAAAGTGCTTTGGAGAGCAAAAGTGCTTCTCTCCCCATTTCACAGACAGAAGCATGAAGGGCCAGGCTGCTCTGGAGATGAAGTGGTGGTTACCAGGGTGAATGCTGGGAGTCCTCAATCAGGTGCCTTGCACACTAGTGAATGGAGTCTGCTGGGGGTGGACTCTGTTCTATGACCCGAGGACTATTCTTATGGTTTCTAAGAACCATCAAAGCACTCCACAGCGTGGCTATGCCTAACTTGCAAATGGAGTACCAAAGACTATCCCATCCCCAGTTGGATTCGAGGCGCAGTCCTTCCCCTTGCATGTCTCCTGAGGGCGGGGGCAGCTCTCTGGGGAAGAGTGAGGCTCTTTAGCCATGCATAGCCTGAAGAAGGGTGGTAGTCTCGGCTGCAGCAGGTGCCCCAGCTTAGGAAGACAATTCTCCAAAGCCATGTTAGCTAGGCAAGTCAGAGAAGATGGGTTTTGTTTTCTCCTTCTGAATCGTGCCTTTCTCTCATTGACACAGTCTCACTGTAAGACCCCTAAGCGTGAAAAGAAATATGCTAAATGATTCTGAGCTGTCCACTTTGAATGCAGTATGGGTTTTCTCGCTGCTACTGAACATCTGAGGACTCATCTGCAAATAGGCCAATTCTTCCCACCGCTCAGGCAGCTTATTCTTGCAGCAAGGTTTCTCTCCAGTTGAAGCCCCCAGTGGGTCCATGGGTAAGGGGGAGGATAGGCGGGTCTGTCAGCTGCCATATTCCAGTTTCTCCCAATTCTTCACAGGAACAGAAGCCTAGGTATGGGATCTGAAGTCAGAGCAGCAAGGAAAGGGGAAAACAGAAGACCAAGAGTTAATGCCTTAACCTCTGTTGACACGAACACTCAAGTGTTTCCAGGACACACAGGCAGAACTGTAAAACCTTTCAAGTCAACAAACAGTCCTAAATGGACGGGACTGGTAAATCTAAGACAACAGTGCTAGTATTGATCAGCAGGATCTGGTCAATGGTAAGCACCCAGACTACATGATTACAGATTGCTGGCTAATAGTGAGGGAGACAAGAATAGAAGCACGCACAGTGCTAGCTTAACCACGGGTTGCATTCCCGATTCCAAGTGTCTGAAACTCTGACAGTTTCAAACCCTGGACATGTTTCCCCCTATATTTACACACCTACAATAAGGTTTAATTTATAAACTAGATACCATAAGACAAAAATCAATAATAAATAAAGCAGAACAGTTTTAACAATATACTATAATAGAAGTTATAAGAATGTGCTCACATTCCACCCTGTCAGTATCTTACTGTACAATATTGTATTTTCAGACTACAGTTGACCTCCGGGTTGGGGAGACTAGAGTAACGCAATTGTACCAAATTCCAAATTGCATATCAAGTTTAAAAGACATACCAAGGATTTCTCACATCATATTTGGGCACTATGGGAAAGAATATCCAGATTTTTTGAGTTAGGATCTCACGTAGTCCAGACTGGCCTTGAACTCATTATGCAGCTAAGGATGACCTTGAAATCCTGATCATCCAGAATGTATTTCCAAAGGACTGGGATTATAGACATATGCCACCACACCTAGCTGACTATTCAATTCAAAAAAATGCATCCCCTTTAACCCTGGCACTTAGGAGGCAGAGGCAGGCAGATCTCTGTGGGTTTGAGATCAGAGAGCTACTGGTATACAAAGTGAGTTCCAGGACAGTCAGGGCTACACAAAGTAACCCTGTCTCAAAACCACATAAATAAAAGAAAGACGGAAAAGAAAAACAAACCAAACGAGTCAGCATTGTTTTGTGGGGAGCACAGTCCATGTGCTTGTGACATTCAGAAAAGAAACCATGGGCTGTCACAGCAACTCGGAGCTTATTTTTGTGTTCTGTGTCCAAAGGCACAGCCATAAACAAGACAGCAACCTGCCTCCCCCCGCCCAAGTAGCTTACAGACTAATGGGATGGATGCATGCCTAAGGGAACATTCTTTTTTTAAATAAGGAAATTGTGATTGAGTGTGAACTAGGGTCTCTGTTCTCACTTGAAGAGGCGTGTGTGGGATGTGGCTGGTGGAAAATACAGGCAGAAGGAAGAATCCAGACCTGAGGGTAAGGTCAGTCTCCTGGGGCTTCTGTCCTGCCTTGTTCTAGCCTGGTTGTTCTCACAGGCTGCAGCCCCCTGGCCTGCCTGCTGGGCCCTCTCTTCAGGCTAAGATCTCGGCTGTATTCGAACTTGCATCTGCTTATTCCCTCATTACTCACAGTTCTTAGCTTCCTCCATAAAACCTTTCCTCTTACACAGTCCTAATCAAATACCCTACAGAGTTCCCCTGAACACATCTTGGCTGAGTGAATCAGTTAATGGATCTTCCCAGCTCAGCAGAAAATTCTGCTTCAGGGAAATTGGCTATCAGCCAGTCACTGATCAGTTAGAGAAACAGCAAAGTACCACCAGCCCCATAAATGCAAGAGTGAATTACCTTCCGGACCATTTGTACGAAGTCCTTGGAGTTCTGAGGGGACAGGCCTTGGAGTTGGCAGGTACAGGCTTCAAGGGAAGACGCATGGGCCACAATCAGAATGTTATTTCCTAGAAAATGAGAGATGCTCATTACCCTGACTGGTTCACTATATACTACATACACATATATTGAGATCACATTGCATTCTATAAATATGCATGATTAGTATATGCTAATTAAAATTTTAAAGAAATCTAGGGATAGAGTTCAGAGGTAAAACATTTCTAGCATACATAATGCCCTGGACACTGCAAATAAATCGGTGAATTTCGGGGAGAACAATCTACAAAAACACACCTCCTTTTCGAAAATGTTCATAATAGCATCGAATACCTTGCATGTCATAATAATGTCTAATATCTTCTACGATAGTTTAGAAAGAACTATGCAGTTGGATTTTCTTTTACTCTAGCCCCACATTGGAACGACAAAATGTATTTGTTTTTTTTTAAACTCTTTACTCTTTAGAGGGCCCTCTAGCCAGCTCCCAACAAATCACATGGAGTTTATTATTACTTATAAATGCCCTGCCTACACTTGGTTTCTAGCTAGCTTTTCTTAAATTATCCCTTCTATCTCTGGGCTTTTTACCTTTTCTTACTTTTGTATATCTTACTTTCAATCTTTGTAGCTGGTTGTGTGGCTGGGTGGTTAGCCCCTAGTGTCCTCTCCTTCTTTTTGCCCCTCCTTCTATTTATTGTGTGCCTGCTCTGCCTATATTTTCTCCTGCCTTGCTATTGTCCATCCAGCTCCTTATTAGACCATCAGGTGTTTTAGACAGGCAAACTAACACAGCTTCATAGAGTTAAACGAATGCTCCACAGCATAAGCAAATGTAATGATTTTAAAATAATATTCCACAACAGGACTAAAAGTTATTTCCCAAAAGAAAAAAGTAGATAGACATAATTATAGATTTATAGGAAGTTACACCCTCACACCCTACTGGAGTAAGGAGGGCTCATGTCCATGGTGGTTTACCATCAAAAACATGGAAACAGACATGGATACAATTCACAATTTGATTTCACCAGGCTCATCAGCACTGCTTTGTGTATGACCATATGGTTTTTGGTGATGCCCTCACATATATATCTTTGTGTAACTATCACCTCAACTGAGACACAAGCTTACCACTCTACAACTACAGGCTCCCTGAGCCAGCCCTCTAATACAATTTTACTCGTCACCACTGCAGATCTGTGAACATTTGAGACCCCATAGTTGAGAGCATGCCATGGTAGTGAATAGCCACACTGTGAGTAATAACCACAATGTGAGAATCATCCATCCTCAGTTGCCCATGACTACCCACTGTTAACATTTGCGTGTATGTAGTTGCAAGTTTTGCTCCCTGAGTATAAATACATTAACCTAAAGCTCATGGTGGGCAGTTGGTCCTACATGTCATCAAGTATTTGAGACCAGTCTCTAAGATGCAAACAGACTTGAGTGTTACCCAACACTACTCTTGGCTAATGACAGCAGCGACAAGGAATGCACTTCTGTGGGAGAGTCTGTGTGTAGATGTCCCCATCCTGGATCATTGAAGGTAAATGGTATTCTATTCTAGAAATCATAACTGGGCATCCTCTCCATAGGATACAAAATGACAAGCTACAACGCAGAGCCCAGCTTACTTAATGAAGTAATTCCATCCTGTGCAATACCTACCATGTTAGATTCTCCTAGAATATCACAAATTCAATGTGAAAGACTCTACAAGAGGGCCTGGAAACATTTTTATTTCCTATTAAGTTTGAAAAAGCAAATTCAAACATCCCAAACAGTTCATAAATCATGGAGAGATGTTCATATATTAATGGAGTCCTAAATCATGTCACCTACCTTTGCTTTTACATTCGCTTATTATCTCTTTCGTCACCTGGAAACTTCTACTGATGTAGGTATCATAGGATTCGGAAATCACCAATTTGCTGACTGGAATGTGAGGTCTACAATGGAAAAGTGAACAAAGGAAAGGAAACCTTTTGACATTCTGATCCTGAAATAAAGGAATGACATCACTAAATATTTCCAGATCTCTTGGAAGACGCATATTTTTGTTTATCCATTTCTCTGGAAAGGTAGGAGGTGCAGGGAAGAGAATCTCCATCAGGCAGACACTGAGGTCTAAAGGCTATAGCATCACTCATATTGACTCATTGGAAAAATTAGGCATTCAGTGAATGTCTTACCCACAGGGACACACTTAAGCAGACTGCATACTTTTCTTGACATTACTGGTCACTGAGGGTCCTAACAATCTGGCCAACAGGAAGCAAGGTGAAGACTGGCTCCCACTGTATAGACACCTGGAGTGCTCAAGCTTTCCTTGGCAGCTTTATTCACAATGAGCTGCAAAGAAACTGTCCATCTCCTTGTGAGCCTATGAAATTTCCACCAGCCACTGCTTTATCTCTGAGTCTTATTTTAAACCATGCATCCAGTACCATGAAAAGCCCAAGGGACATAAAGATGAATTCATTTCTCCATGTGAGACGTTTTCTGTGTGGACCAGGTGGGGAGACTATAAATGGAAACCATAACTGTGAGATACAATTTACAAAAGAATTTGATAGGAGATTCAAAGTATTCATCATGGTCACCAGTCACCAATGCCCATGGGGCCCACCTTGATCTGTTTCTGGTCCATGAGTATTTGTCTTATCTTTGTCCTGTGCCCTTTTCCATTTTCTTGTGTCTTTAATTGTTGAATGTGTGGTGCTTAGTGCAGGTGGTGTTGAGCTCTCAAAATACACATGGCATCTTCGTTATAATTTTAAAATCACTACTGTTAAAATTAGCATGAAAAATATTTACTGAGAGGCCCCATGCGTCAGGGCTCTCTGAAAGCTCACTGTCTGCGTTCTTCCAGTCGTCTGCCCAGCCACACTTGCATAATTCTAAGTCTCTAGGTGATAAAACCGACTTGAGGTGACACCTGACTTGCTCCAGTCTTCAGCTACTCTTAGAGCTGAGACTGAATCTGACTCTTGGATGTGCCCCGTGAACTGGACCTCTTACTCAAGACAACTTCCACTAGTGTTGTCTTCAAGGCCATCCATCATGGCTGGGTATTCTGGCACAAACCTGAACTTTTAACACTCATGGGGCTAAGGCAAGAGAACCCCCATGGAAGGTGAAGACCAGCCTGGATTACCTAGCAAATTGCTCTCTCAAACAACAGACCAAAGAAACAAACAACCAGTCAACCAACCAATCAAATAAACTATCAGTCAGCCAACCAATCAAACAAAACACCAAAAGCTGGCCCATTTGGTGCTCTTTCTTACTATCGGGAAAGCTAATACTGCTGTGTTCGGAGGAAACTTGCCTTTCCTAATCTTCACTCACCAGGCACACTTCTCCCAGGAGGAAGGGTCCTAATGTCCACCATCTGACTCTTCCCAAGGACACATAGAAACAAGTGTCACCACCACGTAAGGATGGACATCTTTGTGTTGGAATGAATTTCTCTTCCTGGCCTTCTCTGCCCACCCCCCCTCTGGTGCAATTCCACTGTGGTTGATATTATCTTGTCTCCCAAGAGCCCCCCTCTCTCCCTCACTCTGTAAACAAAAGGGCCACGTTCTATGGTCAGGGAGTCACTTTATAGGTGACACCACATTGCCATTTGAGATTTGTGTAAATGAAAGATGGGATCCTAGGACCTAGCTCTTCATCTGTTCTTGCCTTTGGCTTCTCTCTACATCTTGAAGGATGCCCTGATGTCCACGAGGTAGAGTCTAAGTTTCTCCTATAAGCAGGACCCTGCTAACCACACCTACAAGGCCCTGTATCGCCTTTAGAGCCAGGCCAGCTTCCAACCACTTACCACCCCTGGAACTTAAGTGCTCTCTGGTGGTTCTCCCAGCATTCTCCCATGGCTACCGTCTTCTCCAACCTACAGGTCCAATCCATAGTGCAGGCTTTGCCTTAAGCTTCATTCAAAACTCACCCCACTTGTCCCCACATCTATGACTCCTTCAGTCCTCTCTCCTCCCTAACCCTCCCTCTACAACCAAGTGTCAGGCCCTGTACCCTGCTCAGATGCCCTTTCCAGTCTATAGAATAATTTGTTTTTGTTTTTCTCTCTTGTATTCTTGGCCTAGCTCCCTAGCCAGCTTTTTATACACAGTCCACAGGCTGTTCTTGCTGCCTGTGGATGATGCCTAGCTGTGAGTCACTGGTCTGGCATGGTTCCCTCACTTAGCTTCCTGTTCTTCAATACTGTTCTGCATGATCCTTGTTGCAAGGATTCAAGACTCTTTTTTTAAATTAAAAATCATCTATCTATCTATCTATCTATCTATCTATCTATCCGTCTGCCCATCCATCCATCCATCCATCCATCATCTATTTATTTATTTAATGTGTGTGTGTGGTGGAGTATATACTCCTAATGCTGCAACCCTTGACTATAGTTCCTCATGTTCTGGTGACCTCCAACCCCAACGTTATTTTCATTGCTAGTTTTTAACCATACTTTTGCTATTGTTATGACTTGTAACATAAATATCTGTGTTGTCTGATGGCCTCAGGGGACCCATGTGAAAGGTCATTCAACCATAAAGGGGTCTCAGCCCACAAGTTGAGAATTGCTGACCTATTCATTTGGTGCCATTTATGACATAGGGGTTAACTATCATATTGCCTCCCTAATGCTTTGTTTTTGGTTTTCTCAACTTACTTTTGGGATTGGAGGCTTCCTATTCCCACTCAAAACTGACAGAAAATATTACACTGAGTTTTAAATGGACAATCAGGAACATATCTTGATCCAGCAATTCCCAGCATTCATCCTGCCTGCACAACTGGTGGCTGTGTGGCCTGGGTCCACATCTGGTGTGCAGTGAAGAGCTCAGTGAGAATGCACTTGCAGAACTTTGTAGGTCATCTTGGGAAATATCACAGAACACATACATGCATACTAAAGCCCAGCCACCCCGAGGTGACTTGGTTGGGGCTGGATGAAGAGAGGGGAGAGCTATTTTACTGATGTCAGCAGTAACCTGACTTATTTCCCAGCCAGAAAGGTGATGGCATCGGCACTGGAACAATATTCTACTGCCATTTCCCCCAAGGAAGAGGAAAACAGTGGCTAGAGAGAGGACATATCAACCTGTGAGGTATACTAGGGATGAGTCCATTTAATGCTATGTTTGAGGATGCTAACTCCCTTATGACAAGCACAGAGATGAGTGACTGGGCTACCTTAGCTCCTACACACAGAGTAGAAGGGGTTTGTAGAGACACACATTCTCTCCCATCTTGTCCAGGAACCCAATGGATCACTCGCAGTTAAAGTATTTGAAGGAGAGGCCAATAGAGAGTACAAGGAAGAAAGTTCTATGCAGACTGGCCCCTTTGCTAAAGTCTGCCCTAAGAAAGAGGAGTTTCATTTCTTACTGGAATGGTTGTGGTTACCTGTCTTTCCTCAAAGTGTTAGGGTGGTTTTTGAGATATTACCACTATATTATTATTATTGGTTAATTCTTTACCAGGAACGTGGATTGTTCACCTGGGGGGGCATTAAAAAATCCTAGCACAGAGTATAGTTCAATGGAAATAACAATAAAACAGGACTAGAATGGCTGCAAGGCAGAGCACACAGAACCTGAGACACAGAAAAATATTAATAGATGTTAATAGTAAGCCATTATTATTTCTATGAATGATAACAAACCATTTTACCATAGGCAAGCTATTTGAACTGTCATATACATAAACATGGCTTTCTGGACTGGGAACATAGCCCAGTAGAGTACTTACATGTGTGTGTATGTATGTGTTTGTGTGTGTGTGTGTGTGTGTGTGTGTGTATGGACACACACACCTTATTCACTTTCATTTTCCAAGATCATAGAAATAATAAATGAACACAGAAAGAAGAATTAAAAATTCAGTGGAAGCCAGAAACAGTGGCCCATGCCTGTAGTTACAGCCCTTGGGAGACATGCACACAGGAAAATCATGAGTTCCAGGTCAGCCTGGGCTACATAATGAGACCCTGTCTCAAAAGAATAAAAGAGCAAGTGATTTGGAAAATTTAAAGTAAAATAGAAGGTGACACACTGTCATTTCCTGCATCCACTGAGCTATTTTATCACCACCTTGTGCGTATGCCTAAAATACAAACTGGCTTTACTTTAACATTGAAGTAGATATAGTAAAGTTAGGAAATCTGAACACAAGATCGAGTGGGGTATGGATCATAATTTATGCTAACATTAAATACAAGGAAACACTAAGTGTTTCCCAGTTTTGTTTTCTAGAATCAAAGCTTGGTGTCTACCACTATGAACAACTCCTTGGAGGCCTTGTGAGGTCCATCATGTGCTTGATGAACATGGCGTGATAACAGTGCAGGACACAGGACCCTAGGAAGACAGCAAGTTAGAGGTTACCTGTAGGTTGTATCAACACTCAGGTTGGCTGCAGCTAACTCTGATGGAGGTATCCATGCCGGTAACGTGCTCCCAGCAACCCACTTTGTCCATTCAAATAAGCCCGGCTCGACCCGAATCTTCAAGAGATTGTCTTGTTGTAAGCCTTAGGGACGAAGTAAAATGAAGGAAGTCTCACTAATTGTCAGTGGAAAAAATGAACCACAGGACAAGCCATTACAAAATTTACAAGGCAGAGCAGGATGTACCGTGCCAGCTTCCAAAGGAGGGAAGCAGCCGAAAGTCCTACCCAGCTCTAATGTCTATAACAATGATGATAAGCATGGCAAGGTAACTCTAATGGTGTAGCAGTGGCCTGGTTACCATCAGCACTCTAAATGGACCTAAGACCTGCTCAATGAGAGGAAAATCATGCCTGGTATCAGAAACCTAGCCAACTACCGGGGGCTAGTGAAGTCATGGATCGGGAGAACCTGCAATCACCACTTTACTAAACCAGCACAACCCTCAACTACATTCTAAATATTCGTCCTTATACCCACAGACAAGTATAGCCCTCCCCCTTCATCAAGGAAACTTCACTTTGCAACAGATGGAACACATTGCAGAAGACCACAGCCAACCAAATGCAGAGCTGTGGAGCCCAGACCCAAAAGATATACCTACAGAACACTCCCATACCTAAGGCTCAGGTGAACATTGAGAAAGAGGAAGCAGAAAGACAGGGAGAAATGGGGATCAGGAAGTTTGCTACAAGAGTGTGTCTCCTAGGAATATCAGAAGATACACCCATAAAGTCTCACCAACATGAGCTGAACAAAGATGACACCAGCATACATGATGGTGGTGGGGATGGGGGGGCCAGGAGAGCTCAACCATGCATAAGGAACTGTGGACAACTGGGGAATGCTGAGAATAGCAGAGGTGTTTTTCTGCAGGGAAGAGCATATTGAATGGCTGTCCAATACCAAATGGTCAGCCTGAAAACACACACACACACACACACACACACACACACACACACACACACACACACACACGAATAACATTGTACAAACTGAGCAGGTCCTACTTACACATTCAGAAACACAATGCACACATGTTAATAACTGATGAAGAAAGAGGTCATTAGAGAGAGCAGGGTGGGGTGTGTGGGAGGTTTTGGGAGGAGGAAAGGGAGGGAGAAATGATGTCATTATACAATAATCTCAAAACATGAAAAAATTGTTTTTAATTATAAGGTATGATTCCTTTGCTACTAGACTTAATAGATCACTTAAGTTGGAAGCACACAGGTTTGGACAAAGTTTATAAATTTTGTGTTTTACAGTGTAAATTGAAAATTTATTTAATAAGTAAATTGTACAGCTATACATAAAGCACGTGTTTAAAAAATAAAATACATTTTTGTTCATTAACATGTGTGTTTATTACTCTGGCTGCCCCTTCACCACATATGCCTGCTGTCTATCAAGGACCCCAGTGTTGAACATTTATGTGTGACAGTGCACAAATTCTGTTTTATCACAGTGTGATTCCCCCAGAGTAGAAATCTTCCCTTTTGATTCATGTAGCTCTCCTTACACTGCCTGTAGTCGTTTCTCTGTGCACAGTGACTACACAGATGCCTCTGGATTGGGAAGAAGGTGTACTGAAGGCTAAGAACAGAGTGTTGTGTCAAATGTTTTTGCTGGCTACTTTATATCTGGCTCATTTGTTTGTCTGGCTCAAGTTCAGTCCAACTCCCCACCTCCCCGCCTCCCTAACCCCAGTCTTCCTTCCAGTTGGGGGTGAGAATGGAGTTCTGTAAAAGGTGTTAAGTTCTTTTGTACCGCTACAATCCATCCAACCCATCTTAAAATTCTTAGAGGAAAAGTATTAGTATTCCCCCCTCTGTCTGGATTACATTATCAGGAAGATAACTTTTGTGAAAGGTTGGTTGCCTTCTGGAAGAATCCTCTATAAAGTTTCCAGATTTGTGTGAGCCACAGTGGCTCAAGCCTATACTCCTAGCACTCAGGAGGCTGCGGCAGGAGGATTGCTGCAGGTTCGAGGGTAGCCTTGTGCTACACATCACCTTGAAACCCTGTCTCAAAAAAACAAAACAAAACAAAACAAACTAAACTTTCAGTCTTTGAAGCTCCATAGCTCTGCAGTAAGTGCCGGGAAACAGGGATGAATTACGTAACCCCGTCAAGCCAAGAGTCTTACCTTTCAATATATTATGTGCGGTCTGGACGCAGCGTAGGGATGGAGAGCAATAAACGTGATCAATAACGGTGTTGCTTTCTAACAAGGCTTCACCTGCCGAGCAAATCAACGGACAGTCAGCATGGTAGAGCCTTGGGCTTCATCTTGACCCTTGATGGAACCTGCCAAGCAGACCCATACACTCCCCCTCTCCCAGCAGGAGCTCACAGAGAGCCAGGAGTGGCAGCCACATCAGTGCATTCATGGAAGAGGCCTACCAACACGCCTCTTTGTCCCCTTTTCTTTCTGGTACCAGCATGCAACAAAATGACCTCTTGGGAAGGCCTACTAACAGGGAAATGCTCTGACCTCTACTAGGAAGATGCTGAAACCCGCTCTGTTATGACAGGGAGAGGGTTAGTCATGCCTTGTTATAATTCTAGTGCACTAACCCAAATCTCAGCTGCCCAGACTCTTGAACACCAGAAACCCATCAAATATTCTAATACTTCCTGACGTAGTTCACTTTTCTCTACTAGGTAAACTCTAAATATCTTCATGTGGTGTCAGTGTCTGTCATGGACTTGGTTACCTTGCCAGCCCCTTCTTTTGACCTGACTCTAGAAATAAGAAGAGGTCACAGCATCCCCTGTACTCATCATTATCATCATCATCATCATTATGATTATTTATTTAGGTTTTTTTCAAGACAGGCTTTCTCTGTGTAGCCCTGGCTGTCCTAGAGCTCACTCTGTAGACCAGGCTGGCCTCAAACTCACAGAAATCTGCCTGCCTCTGCCTCTCAGGTGTTGGGGTTAAAGGTAGCATCACTACCACCCAGCTTTTCCTGCACTCTTAATGCTCTAATTTTTTAAGTATTTATTATTGTTGTTGTTGTTGGTGGTGGTGTGTATAAGAGACAGAGAGAAAAAGAGAGGAGAAAACACGTGTGCATATTCAGTCCGTCATACAGCCTGATAGTTACTGAACAGCTTCAAAATGAATTCATCAATGCCCTTGCATCCCTCCCTCCCTCCCTCCCTCCCTCCCTCTCTCCCCCCACCTCTCTCTGTTTTTCGAGACAGGGTTTCTCTGTGTAGCATTGTAGACCAGGATGGTCTCAAATTCATAGAGATCCGCCTGCCTCTGCCTCCAAGTGCTGGCATTACAGGTGTGCACCACCATCGCCCGGATTCCCCTGTACCTCTTAACCTCACATCTCACACCATGGTGGCAGATGCTGCTGTCTTGAGCTATCAGCCAATACATCTACTAGACCAGCGCTGTAAGTAAACCAAGCCTCATTTTCCTTCTTTCATTCCACCTTAGGGACCACATCTGTTAATCATCAGGGGCCTACCTGTAACTCCAGCCCAAAAAGGCTGAGGCAGGAAAACCTAATGTTGTAGGCCACCATGGTGTCTCAAAAAAATCAAACCAAAAAATAAGAGAGAAAGTGCAAGAAGTGTGTTTGCCCACCCATGCTGTGGGTCTGTTGAAGGAGCCAGGGGATGCTATGCCATCACAGGAGCCCTTACCCACTAGCCTTGCTTGCATACACCCAAACACAGTGATTGGAGCATCTTTCTCATAGTCCCGGAAACCGCCGCTCCGCTGAGGTAAGCTGTGAGGCATGTTCAGGTTGGTGCGTATGTAGCGGCCTGGTGGGAGAAGATCAAATAAAGGCTGCATAGACTTCTTGTCACTTGAGACTTTCTTCAATGATCCTGACCCCTCCTCCTTCTTGGCTAAAGACACTGAATTCAACCATCTGAAGTCAATGGAAAACATCGAATCTGACACTTTTTCTTAAGTAGATTGACTTACAATCCACCCTCTCTTCTGCTGACAACAGCAATAAGGGGATTTCTCAGTGAATATAACCACCAGACACAGGCAAGGCTCCCACTCCTAAAACACCACTCAAATGAGGATGGAACCAGATGGTCCACAGTGATATTGTGGCAGGAGCTCTGGTCACAGAATCAGAACATGTCTCTGAACTGATTTGTCATCTGAATATGGGCCAGACACAGCTACTCTTTGCTCCCTGGTACCTCAGCATATAGAATCGGGACAAGAATGTTTATCTGTCCTCTACAAGTTACAGCAATCCAGAACGACGTAGAGATTCCAAGGATTTTGCAACTGCTTGTCCATGATGACTACATGTACATAGAAGTAGCCTGCCTGTGCCCCCTAGAGGTCATTATGGGCATGCATTGCTGTGTAGGCCATTAATTACCACCCCTGAGAGACAGGTGATGTATTCCAAGGGCCCCACTAGATAGATGCCTAAGACCATAGAGATAGTGGTGAATCCTGAACAGACCATGTTCCACCTCCCCCCCCAAAAAAACACACCTACGCTAACACTGAACTTGTAAGTCAGCCACAGTAATGAGGAATAATAATATACAGTAATGCAAGTTACAGAGATGTCTCACACAAAATATCTTGCTGCAGTGTATCTGGACTTCCTGTGAAAGGGTGTTGTATTTACGTGATAGTGAAGAGAGGCAAATGCTACTGTGACAGTAGATTTGATAACTAAAATGACATTAGGCAAGAAATTGGTGGGTACAATATCGATTGTACACTGAGCAAAGGGACGATGAACTAGTTGGGACATAGATGGATTTTATCGTGTTACCCAGAGAGCAGGGATCACAATATAAAGCATGAATTGCTTGTGTGCTGGCCAATTTTACATCACCTGGAGTCTCCTGAGAGGAGGGAACCCCTATTGGGAAAATGCCTCCATATGATTGAGCAGGCCTGTAGGACATTTTCTTAAATAGTGATTGATGGGGGAGGGCCCAGCCCATTGTGGGTGATGCCAGCCCTGGGCTGGTGGTCCTGGGTTCTGAGCAAACCATGGGAAACAAGCAGCACCCTCCATGGCCTCTGCATCAGCTCCTGCCTCCAGGTTCCTACTCTATTTGAGTTCCTGTCCTGGCTTCCTTCAAATGATGAACTACAATGCGGAAGTGTCAGCCAAATAAACCCTTTCCTCGCCGGACTTGCTTTTGGTCATGATGATTCACCACAGTAGCAGAAACCCTGACTAAGACAGCTTGTTTGAGACTAGTAACGGAAACCCTGACTAAGACAGCTCGTTTGAGACTTTTCCACTTACTAGTTTTAGGCCATGGTTAACTGTGGGTAACTGAAACCACAGAGTCAAACTGGATGAATGGAGAGACTGCAGTTACTCACCTTTGGCATCAAAGCACTGGGACAGCCAGTACTTCCCGAATACAACATCCATCCTCTCCCCATGCCGACACACAAAGAGGCATCGCTTCTGGGGCCCGGGCTGGCTGTTGACTCTCAGGGGCTGCAGAGAAAGAAAGGCAGAGTGAACATACACACAGTACCACAGACCTACCCTGATGTCAAGAGAGTGGAGCTCTGGGACACATTCTGCCAATGTATGACTTTGACAGTCTCCCCGACTGCCCTGGGCTTAGTTTGGTCTGCTTGTAAGGTGAGGATAATAAGCTCCTCCTACAGACCCTACAAGCCTATGAGTATGATGGATTGTGCAAGTGCTACACTCTTTGCTGCCCCCTACTGTAACAGGAGGGTTACTCACGGTAGAGTTCAAGGGTCAAACCTGCCCTTAATGTAGAGATGAGAATGACAGCTATCTCCTCCAAAGAGATATGCCGTCAGTTCCTTTGAGGAGGCAGAAATTCTATTGTCACGCATGTGTCTGCCTCATGCCTGGTTTAGATCAGTGCTCTGCCTTGCGTATTCTTTTCCTTTCCTTTAATTTTATTGCTTACTATTTATATGTGCGGGTGTTTTGCCTGCATGCACGTATGTGTGCACCACGTGTGTGCAGTGTCCACAGAGGCCAGAAGAACACACCGGGACTGGAATTACAGTTATAAGCTTCCACGTGGGTGCCGAGAGCTGAACCTGGATCCTTTGGAAGGGCGGTCAGTGCACTTAACTGCGGGGCCATCTCTCTACCCAGCCACATTTTACACATTTTACACGTTCTGCCCATCATGTGCGCTGCCATCTGACTACATACACTGGTATTTCTAAATGGGCTCAAGTGGGAAAGCAGTAACTTCTCAGTGGCAACACAGGCAAGCGGAGCCAACTCCTGGTTCCCACAGCTGCTGGTGGAACTGCACAGACACTTCCACGCCCTGCTTGCGGATGCGTCAGATGCTCCCATTGCTTTGGTCCTTGCTGGCGAACACTCTTCCACTGGCTCCTTTTGCTTTGCCAGGGCTAACTTGGTGCTGTGGATTTGGCACCCGCTCTCCAGACGTTCTTTAATTCAAACCCTGGGATCCAGATCAAAGCGCACCTCCTCCCTTTTCATCCTTAACACGCCGAACTTTCAACCTGTCCCTGATCTGCTTGACTACTCCTACTCCTTCTTTCAGCCTGTCCCCAAAGTGTTATCAATACCCTGAATTCTCAAGTCCAACAACCATGCTAAGAACCTCATTCTACTGATACAAACATCAGTCGCCTCCTCTTCCTTCCTTGGGACCCACATGGCGATGTCCATCGGCAGCACCACTCAGAGCATCCTGATTAGATTCGAGGACGTGGCATGACCCTCACGATCAGTCTTACCTGCATGGGCTGGCAGATGATAGTGAGAGGCGTCGTCTCCCCGAGTCCTTGGTCCTCATACTGCCGCCTCTCTAATACTCCATCACCAAACGTGAGAGAGCTGGATGGCACCGTATTTAAGATGGAGTAGGAACTGCAGAGGAAGGAGAAGGAAGGGTCAACTGTTCGTGGTGAGGCTCAACAGGAGCATGGACAGTAGCACAAAGGACTGTCTGGTCACAGGGTATTTGGGGACCTGAGCAGGGAGAACATCTTGGGTTTTGTTTTTCTGAAGTCTCACAGTTAATAAACAAGGGGCAGACAGTTCTCAGAGCTGAAACAGTTGCATGCATCTCTTTGGGCAGGGATGGGGCCCAGTGATTCTAGGCTTATTAGGATGCTGCAGGCAGGGTTGGCAGCAAAGACACGTTAAAGAATAATGAAGTATCAATTATGTACCACAGTTTCAGTTCTCTCTGTCGCTGCAGTGAAACAAATAGTTCCCGCTGCCTTTAATCTTTTCCATGGTAATTTCCATCTGAGGGATGTGAGGGGAGACGTCTTCCCAGCACCACTTGCCCATGGCTCTAAGGCTCCCAGGACTTATCCATCCCTTATCTCCCTTATCCCTTAACCTGCCTTCTTCAGCCTCCAGCACTGTGCTCGCCTCCATAGCAACTCCAGGAAGATGATTAAAAACGGGGCTATTTCAGAGGATCTGACTCTTGCCAGATGTTTGGAACTGTGAGCCAAGAACTCTTATTTCTGACTATGCCACTGTAGCTATGAAGCCCAGAGGCGGTCTGGATGACAGCAAAACTGTCCAAACATGCCACACTGAAATTTCTGCACACAGTACAGCTTTCCAATTTAAGTAGGTCACTGGGCAAATCAAACAAACATCTCCTGGGTCACTGGGCAGTCTCAAAAGGAAGCATCTGAATTTTTAATTTCTTGCTCTTGGAAAGTCCCAGTTTGCTCAATCAAGTCTGGGTTTGTGTCTGTGGACCCTATGACCTGTGTCTGTTAGCAAGCTCCCACTCTGCAGTATTCATCTTTAACACAGTATGCTTATTAGAATTTTATTTTTGAATTTTTCATATTTTATAAAATCAGCAAGCTAACTAATTTTCAGGGTTTTAAAAATCAGCTACCTCTGGGTTTTTTTTTTGGCATGTATTCATTGAACACAGTACTCAGTTTCATAAGGACGCTGTCACACGAGTACATACCGTACTTAGGTGTTGGGTGTGGTGGCACACCCCTTTAATCACAGCACTCTGGAGGCAGAAGTAGGCAGAACTCTTGAGTCTTAGGTCAGCCTTGTCTACATAGCAAGCTCCAGGACAGCCAGGACTACACAGAGACCCTGTCTGGTGGCGACTGATAATGTACTTAGATTACATTTTCTCTCCTGACTCCCTCATCTCCCCCATTAGCTCCCTAAACTCCTTTAAACAGTTCCATTTCCACTTCATGTCACATATATGTGTGCATATGTCATTTTATTACCTCTCTAAAACGTGCCATCGACAAGTGAGAGAAAACACACAGTGTCTGTTTTTCCAAGTCTGACTTAATTCACTTATGATAATAATCTCCAGTTGTATCTACTTTCCTTCAAGTAACATAATCTTGTTTTGTTTTTGTGCTAAATCAAATTCCACTGCATATATTTACCACATTTTCTTTATTCACTCCTCTGCTGACAGACACCTGTGTCATTTCCATCATTGAGCTAATTGTGACCAGTACTTCAGTAAAAGTCACCGTATATTGCCTTAAAGTCTATGGTAGATACCCACCAGGTTAGAGGTCAGATGTTGGTTGGATTTTTTTTTCCTTTGAGACAGGTTTTATATAGTTTAGGCTGGTGGTTTCCAAAACCACATGCAGCCAAGGCTGGCTTCAAACTCCTGATCCCCCTGCTTCTACCTCCCGAGAGATGGGATAACAGGTGTGCACCAATGCCCAGTCGTCCATGATCTGAAGATCAAACTCAGGGCTTCAGGCATGCCAGGCAAGCACTCTACCAACTGAGAGTGTCCTCAGCCTGATTGTATTGGTGTCTGACCCCAAGAGATTTGCATCCCTGTGCATATGAGATGCACGAAGGTGCTCTTGGCTGAATCCTGCTCCTCACAAGCCATTGTCCAGAGCCTAAGAGGTAGAACCAGGAGTCTGTAGCTTAATGCGGCTGTGTTTAGTATGATATGCAGCTAAATTAAACCTGTTATGGGCAAATTTAAGTAACGATAGCTTAAGGAAATTTGAGCCATTTACACGCTCTAATAGACCAGCTGCTCGCCTTTATTTTAAGCAGAGAGCTTCCCCAACGGCACACAATTGAACAAACTTCAGTTTTCCTGTCTGGCTCATCAAAGCTTCAGGCCTCCAATGTCTAGCTGTCTGGAATCATGCTGACATCTCCCTTGCCCACGTCCGTAACATCTTTACTTTATCACAGCTGGGAAGCAAATGATAGGGCCCTTTCTCTCCCTCCCGTTCCCTTGGTGAGGAGAGTGGCAGCTTCCTTCCTGTCTTCAGCGTCACTACAATCAAAGGACCTGGCTCCCCCTGAGACAGCTTGAGGACAGAGTCAGACCAGGGAGGAGAGGAAGCAAATCTGACACCCAGAACCCCTTCTCAGGGAGCAGGAAGATTCCAGCTTCCCTGTTCGAGGGCCTGTAGCTCACCACACTGTAGAGGACAATGGGCCAGCATCACCCAAAGGGACTTAGGGACACTCAGGAACAAATGATCACCAAGAAAGGCAGCGAGGAGATATTTTTCTTAGCTATCTAGAAGGCTGAGGAGCAGTGGGCGGGGAGAGCTATAAAAGCCACTGCTGTCCCAAGTCCCTGTTCACTGTACGAACCCTCTCTACAGCTTCTCATGAAGTCAGGTGGGGTCAAGCCAGTCGGCTCATGTGTCTTCCCATCTTTGGTTAGACTCACATGAGAACGCCTGTCCTACAGGGGGGGGGGGTGACTGCCTCCGTGGGTCATTTCTACCTCCGGCGGTAAGCAGTAAAAGTGTAGCTAGGCCCTTTTAATGGAAGAGACATTTAGCTTAATGAGGTTTGGTAAACATAGACAAGAAATAATCAAAACACTAGTGGGTATTCTGTAGCTAATACTGTGTCACCAGAACTTGTCAAGCTGATCTCTATGGCAGTCACCACCACAAGTTCTACTGTATGTACAATGATTATCTCCTGTTTGGTGGCCTAGTGAAGCAATTAAGCTTGGGCAAGATTTACATGGCTGGTATGAGAAAGAGGATTTGGATATAACTCGACTGTAACTCAAATTTTTAATCAGAGTCTCAATGCCTAATCTGTGTATTCTGACACTCAGCAGAGTCAACTGTGGACCAATAGTTTAATATCAAACAAAGTTCCCAGGAAATAACATCAACAATTATCTTCAAAATAAAAGGTGATTCGTAGACCTTCCATAGTGCCCCCTGAGTGAGGCCAGACAGTTTTCCCCATGGTGAAGTCTGAATTCTAGTTCAGGGAGGAGGTCTACAGGGAGGGTCTTCCATGAGTTAGCAGGATTTCATGTGTGTTCTCTACCCCACATATATCCCTATTGCTAAAAAACAGACCCATGAGCCGTGCTTCATCAAGCAAATTATCTTCGGTTTTCAGTATATGCACGAGCCACTTATTGGGGAGATGTTCTAGGAAATGTGCCACTGGGAGATTTGTCAGAATATCATTACAGTGAACTTAAACTAAGCTGTTAGCATGCTGCATGACACAATTCAGGGGATCATCACTGTGTACAAGGTCCACCTATAACCCGAATACTATTATGAGCAGGATACATTCTAGCACACTGCCTGAAACAATTCAAGGGACCACTACTCTGTACAAGGTCTACCCCCAAGCCAAATGTTATTACAAACCTGATACATGACTGTATCTGCGTGTGTATGTGTGTGTGTGTGTGTGTGTGTGCGCGCGCGCGTGCGTGAGTGTGCATGTGTGTACGGACAACCTGCTAAAGTGAGTTTTTCCTTCCACCATGTGTGCCCTCAAGTTTGAACTAGGGGCATTAGGCTCTGTGGCACGTGTTTTTACCTACCCACTCAGCCATGTTGCTAGCCCTTCACCTTTTTTTTGGAAGAGTCCCTTGTCTGAGACTCACCAAGTAGGTTAGGTTAGGGTGGTTGAACACACACACACACACACACACACACACACACACACACACACACACACACACACACACACAGAGTCTCTGCTTTCTCAGCACTAGGATTATAAGCATGACTTTGCCAATGTGGTCTCTCCAGCCCTTATCTATTTTTAAAGGATAAAATGGTGGCTGCAGAGTTTCAACTTCTGTATTTCTAGCTTCATAAACATTTCTAAAAAAAAAAAAAAGAAAAACCTGGATGGTTGAGGGCATGAAGCATCTGGGTGCCTGTGGGTTGGGGAGGGATGCCACACAAGGCGGAGGAAGGGAGAGTGAGTTCTTTCTCATCATGAGTGTGTGGTTTGTCCGGGCTCACAGAGCAGGGGACTGTCTTTGTTCTTTTCCCTCCAGGCAAAATACCAGGCAGATGTGTCCTGTGTCGTCCCCCGCCCCTGCTCTGGTCCCTTCCAACAGGAACAACAATGGGAGCTAAGGACACAGCAGGTTTTCAGGGCTCAGCAACATTGCCACATGGAAGAAACAAAAGGGAGGGAAAACCAAACTGGCATGTGAAGCCTGGTGACTGGACTTGAACTCCCTGGATTGGGAAGGGGAAAGGAGCGTTGCGCTCCTGTTTATATCTGGGGCAAAGCTGGTCATACAACATGGTCCATTCTGGACCCTGGACCCCAGAGTGGGCTGAGGACAGCAGAGTAGTGAGGGGTGGTGACTGTCACCTTAATAAAGAATGGGAGGCATCATGCTCTTGTTAATTCCTAACAGTTGCCCATCTCTTGGACATAGTCCCTTGGACATAGCCTAGGCACATTTGTGCCAGGTCTGAGGACTTGCTCAGGGTCACCTAGCAAACACGGGTTACATTTAGGGCTCCTGATTTTACAGTCTCTTTCTGTCACTGGTCTGGCTGACATAGAAGGAAATCTGTCTAGCTGCTCTGAAAAGCCCCCCGCTTCTCAGAGTGAGGTGGACTGAAGCTATGAAACACTCCATGCTTGGCATGAGATGTAGCTATGCTCTAGCCAGAGATGGACAGCAGCCTTAGGTTGGCACCCACTAGGAAACCAGACAGGCCATCACATGACTTGGGCAGGAGAGTGGGTTTACCTACCCATGGAAGATCCAGGTGCTACACTCATCAGCCTTGGTAATATAGTTCTCAGGAAGCAGCCCAGAGCAGCCGGTGGTCAGCGAGGTGCCGTAAATCCAGCCCTCACTGGTGCTGGTCTGCTCCATGGGAGACATGAAGATGAAGTCCCCAGGGACCAACTCCAGCTCATCATCATTCTGAGGGGAATAGGGGTAGATCACCTGTAACGTCTGCAAAAAGGAGAGGACACATGAGACCCATCGGCCATCCTTTTTAACACTCAGGCACTAGACCATACTCTACAAATGCAATAGCTGAGTGTGCTGCATACAGGAACACCTGGCTCACAGGCTCTCAGCAGACCTGGCTCCTGACCCGAGAGCACTACTCTTGCCAGGGCTTTATGGGAAGGTGTCTGGTGCTGCACAACCTTCCAGACCCGCCCCCCCCCAGTCATGCTTTCACTTTCTGTCAGCACTCAGAAATGAGTTTCAGGGACTCATCAGAAACCTGGAAGGTTTCGCCAGGCAACCAACCACTGAACATACAGACATTCATTGTCCCTGCTCTATCTGCTGTAGCAAGCACCAGGCAGATGGGAATTGTGCAATGCAACTTGTCTTCTACAGGCTCACAGATGGGTCATATGGGAAGTCACTTCTACTGGGATGGGAATAAAGTATGGCCTTTATTTATTTATTTATAATGTGTGTGTGTGCATGCATGTGCGTGCATAGGTTTGTGTGCGTGCGTGCGTGCGTGCGTGTGTGCGTGCGTGCGTGCGTGCGTGCGTGCATGTGTGTGTGTGTGTGTGTGTGTGTGTGTGTGTGTGTGTGTGTGTACTGGGAACCACTCAGATCTTCTGCCAGAGCAGTAAATGCTTTCAGCCACTTAGGAAGGATGGCTCATTCTATGTGACTCATCTGATAGAGCAAAACACAGTCTACACCTTCAAGGCTCTTTCTCCAAGCCTACAATTGTATCAAAGACCTTGAAAGGAAGCTGTCTCTCCTAGACACCAGTGTCTGTATGGGAGGGTAACCAGCTTCCACCAGTTCAGATGGAAGCCACATGTCCTTTTTCTGAGCTCAGAATAGGCCTGCGGGGCAGACATGGGGCCAGGCCATGTGGCTGATCCATTCTCCGTGGGGTGGGGGTGGGGGTGTGTGCTTCCTTTCTTGTGTATACGAGCATCATAATCCTAGACTTTTTTTTTTTAACTTCAGACATTTGTTTTGCATTTTTTATTACGAGCAAGAGACCTCAACAGGAAAGATAATTATATCCTATTTTATTTGTTTCCAGACAGTGAGAAAGGTAGAAGAGGCTTTCACAGTCTTCCTAAGGTTCTACAGCTGATGGTGACAGGCTACTGGTTCTCATCTTCTTAGTTTTAAGCTTTAGTCTCCAGCAATACCTAGACTACAAAAGTTAAGTGTGGCGCCCTAAGAAAATGCTGGAGGACAGAGGCATAGGTACTTCCAGTGGCCCTGGGTTCCTGGCTCCTGGCTGATGGCACTCTTTGCAGCCATTCCTGACCTTGGGGCCTGAGGCCAGCCCTGGGTGGATCTGTGCACTAGCCAGCTGCTGACGTCAAGGCGAGTCACCAAAACATGTTATAAAGAAAGGGCTCTGCTGCGTGTGGTGGGGAACAGCTGTTATCTCAGAACTGGGGAGGCTGAGACGGAGGATCACCTTGAATTTGAGGTTAGCCTGGTGTATATAGTGAGTCTAGGCAAGCCTGGGCTACAGAGTGAATCCTTACCTCAAAAGGAAACAAAATAAAATATCAAACCAAACCAAATAAACCATTTTCTTCTGGAAACTTCCGAGGAAAAGAGCTGGGAAAATGGTTTCTCTCAGACAATGAAGCTGATAATGCGTAGATTTTCGTCTCCCTGGCCTTTCTAATTTAGGGCGCGTACCTTCTGTTTCTAATCCTCCAGTTATCTCTCAGTTGCTTGTTGGTCTGTCCTCTGATCACCTCCTCTCTCCCTCTCCTGTCCCTCTCTGATCACCAGGCAAGCCAAGGGCTCTGCTGAGTTGATTTAAAAATTGTTTTAAAAGACAAAAAATTTACTCACTAGAGATCTCTTTTACGATCAATTCTGGGTGGTCATGTGACGCAAGGGAAGGCAGCATTGCTGGAACAGGACACAGTCAAACCCCCCTCAGCTACCTGAGCACAGCTTACTTTTGGCTCACAATACCCCTGGCTGGAAGTTCAGCTTTCCCTTTGAAGAGCTCAGAGAAGTACTCCTTAATGGTGAACATCCCACCTCAGATGTCCTAGGGATCATCAAGGTACAAGGAGGCATGGAGACGATAGATCCTCGGCATACCTTAGAGGGTCAGTAAATAAGTTTGACTGACTGAATTTATAACTGAAAAAAATCAAGGGAGTTCATCAAATCTAGCATTATAACTGGAGGCCAAGGGTGTAACTTAGTAGTGGAATGGGTGCTCTGGTGCTCTGGGTTTGGGGTACAGCCCCCAGCACCAATAAACAAACGGATAATAATCCAGACCCCAGTACTCTCTGATGCTTTCCACCCCAAAGCTAGACACAAAGACTCAGTCCACCTCTGAGAGACCTGAGACTAACTTGCCCTGCTCTGTGCTATTTCGTTGTTTTATGTTTTTGTGTCTTTCTTGAGAGATGGCTCTGCAGCTACCAGCATGGGCTGCTCTTCCAGAGGACGTGGATTCAGCTCCCAGAACTCACATGGTAGTTCACAACCATCTGTAACTCCAATGCTGGGGGATCTGACACCCTTTTGTGGCCTCTATGGGCACTGCACACACATGGTACAAAGACATACACACAGGCAAAACACCCACACATGTAAAATAAAAACAATAAATATAAAAAAAGACTTTTGTGCCAAGCTTAGCTTTTTCCTCCCTCATTATTCCACAGAGACCAAACCCAATGACAGCTGACTGAAGAGAAGCTGCAGGTGTGTGGTTTCTGTGTTGTACCTGCCCCGTGCTAGCTGTTACGGTAGCTCTCCACATATCCCCCACATCCTTGCCAACAGTCTAGGAAAGATCTCTACCTTAGAGAAGAGGAAATGAAGAACTGGAAAAAAGATACACTCTATGTGTGTAGGTCAGAGGTCAATGTTGAGTGCTTTTCCAATTACCTTCTACTTCATTGTAATTGTGTGTGTGTGTGTGTGTGTGTGTGTGTGTACGCGCGTGCCACATGTGTACATGTCCTTAGGGACCAGAAGGGTTGTGAGCCCTGACATGGGTGCTAGGAACTGAATTTGGGTCCTCCGGAATACAAGTAACTGCTGAGCTATTTCTCCATCCTCATTCTACCTTATATTTTGAGTCAGGGTCTCTCATGGAACCAGGAGCTTCCTGATTTGACTAGACTGGCTATGCAGCAAACTCCAGGGAGCCTCCTGTCTCTGCCTCCCCAACACTCAGATTACAGGTACCTGCCCCAGTACACATCCCTTATGCGAATGCTGGGGTATTGAATTCTGCCCTTTAGGGTCACCTCCCTAGTCTGTTTCTGTTGTTTTGCTCTTCAGTTGGCTGGTTGGACTTTTTGTTTGTTTTGCTTTAGTCAACTACTCGTGTAGCCCAGGCTGGCCCTGAACTCACTGTGTAGCGGGGGAAGGCCTTTAATTTCTAGTCCTCCTGCTTCTGGGATTACAGGTGTGTACTGCGGCTATGGGAACTGAATCCAGGGATCACGTGTTTCAGGCAAGCACTCTATAAACTGAGCTACATTCCTAGCTTGTGAATTACAGAAATTGCCAGTGTGAATCGAACTACCGCTAAAATGAGCCAGCCAAGATGGAAGCAGGAGCTGGAGGCTCCGAAATGTCTACTTTCTGTAGAAATCTGTCCTACATTTCCGTGGCTGCAGAACAATGTCAACACGAACACGGAAGGGGTGTGAGCTACAGCTGGGCATCTGAGTTTGTGTCTGAGAATGTGAAACAGCAGAGGATAACGCCTTACAGTATCCTAAGCATCACCGAGCCTTTGAACCTTGCTCCATGTCTTTGCCTAATTCAGTGTCCTCTGGTGGCTCATTCCCTGGTTAGAACACTCTATCAAACCTCCCTCCTGGGGACAGAATGAAGGAGGAGGGTGGGAGTGTTATACACCCAAGGGGCTCTGGAAGAGCAGAAGACCCCAGAGGGAACCTAGAGGGGAAGTGAGCGCCTTATCAGAAAAAAACAGTAATAATTGAGCTTTAACAAATAAGAGATAAAGGGGCTAAGTTATTTTTAGAAAAGAATTCACTCGGGCATTTGCAGCCTCTTTCCGGCTGCACAGACAGAACAGAATGTGGGTCACGAAGAGACCGGTTACCCTTGGAGTTAACTGGAGGGCAGCGTTCGTTAGAGGACAGCCCGGTGGATTCCACAGCCATCTTCTCCTCTCACAGAGGTGACCTCTCCGGGGCCTGGCACAATCGCCCCCTCGACCTTTTTATTCTGCCTCTGTCCTTGGAAAAGAGTCTGACGAGCCACACCTACTCTAGTATCCTTCAGGGCTCATTCTAGGTGGTTCCAGGAGATGCTAAAATTCTTTTTTTTGTTGTTGTTGTTTTTTTGTTTTACGAGACAGGGTTTCTCTGTATTGTTTTGGAGGCTGTCAGTCCAGCCTGGCCTCGAACTCACAGAGATCCGCCTGCCTCTGCCTCCCGAGTGCTGGGATTAAAGGCGTGCGCCACCACTGCCCGGCTGAGATGCTAAAATTCTTAAGATCCCATTTAGTTAGTTTAGTCTGCCTCAGGAGAAACCAACATCCAATGACTGAAGGATGATCTCATCAGGAAGATCAGGTCAAGCCTGCCCTCGACACTTCCAAAGCGCCATACCTCACCCCAAAGCTTTGGTCCATAGTTGATCCCAAGGTTGCCTGGGCAGAGCAAGAGGTCCTGTTAGTTTCTGTTCTTTATTTTTTTCATGTTAGCATAAAATAATTGCCATAAGGTCATATATGCTAACACAATAACAACAACTTTGTTGTTGAAAAACTGGGGAACATGTAACTATTGCTTAATAAATGTAATTAAATTAGAAGAAAAATTTTCATCTAGTTACAGTGGTTCTCCACTAAACACGGGGTTTATTCCAAAACCCAAAGGGTAGGCCTGAAATTGAAGCTAGCACCAGACACATTCTCTGTGTTGGGTAAGCCTACACTGGATACTTTTTTCTATTTATAGCTATGGTCACATTTAATCTATAGACTGAGGACATTAACCAATAATAAAATAGAGACATTCTAATAATACATTGTAATAAAAGTTATCTGAAGGCTATGAATTTGTGTGTGTTTACATTACACATGTAGTATATGCACAAGTGTGTGTGCAAGTGTATGCTCGTACCCGTGTGTGTGCACAGGTGGAGTCCAGGGAAAGGCTGGGTGTCTTCTTCTAGTGCTCTCTATTTATTCCCTTGAGACAGGTTCTCTCACTGGCTCTGAAGCTCATCATTTCATGCATGCTAGCTCCAAGGATTCATCTGTCTGCCTCTCAACACTGAGCTCACAGGCACAGACTGAGCAGAATGATGGGGACCTGAACTTTGTGTTTGCACAGCAAGTGTTCCTACCCACTGGGCCATCCCCCGAGCCCTTCATGAAACAATAGCTTCTGGTAACTGAAACCACAGCAGACAGGGAAACAGAAGACACTCGGGACCACCGTGTGTGACCTTTCTTTACATGGATCAGCCACCTTTGTTGATTAGAAGGTCTAGGCTCTGCTTGCTGTCTGGGGGCCTCAACTATACTGCTGTGCGTGCGTGCGTGCGAGCGTGCGTGCATGTGTGTGTGTGTGTGTGTGTGTGTGTGTGTGTGTGCGCGCGCGCGCGTGCGCGCACACGCTGCAGGTCAGAGGACAACCTGAAACACTCTATTCTCCCTTTCTACCATGTGGGTTCCGGGAATCAAACTCAGGTTGTCAGGGTTGATAGCAAGGGCCCTCACCGGATGAGCCATCTCACTGGCCCTTAAAACTCCTTGAGTGCAGACTTTTTAAAAATTCTGCATGTCCAATGGTACCCCGCATGCTCTAGACATCAGCATGTCATCAAATACCTGCGGATTTTGCTTTTGTAGGTTTTATATTTTGGTTTACTTTTGTATCTATGTGTTTGACTCACCTCAGGTCAGGATTAATGCCCTTTCAACATCAAAAGTTTACATGAATATAATATTAACTCCACTAATATATTTTCTGTCTATTCTCCATTTTATTCCTACGTCCCTCCAATCAGACTGACAGGGCAGACAGAACATAGGGATGTTATCTAAATGAACCATGTCACCCATGCTAAGCCTCTCAGGGAGTCTCCAGAACCTTCATAAAATCTGGAGCCTTCTGACTCCCGGCCAAGTGCTCACTCACTCCCCTCTGGTTCCCATCTTTCTGTGCTGCTTGATAACTCCCTGTTGGTCCCCACTGCCCTGTGTCACTTCCCTTCGGTCTCCATCACTCTGTGTCACCATTAGCAAGCGCTCCTTGTTCGTAAGGCATCCAGGTGCCTGGAAATATGCAAGACTGCAGGGAAGCGTTACCTCATGGTTGGCAAACCGGATATCCCGAGAGAATATGGTGGCCACCCAGTCACACCCTAGCTTGACATCGATGTTCTGGGCAAGTTTCTCTAGAGTGGGCAGGTGGCTGGCTTGGAAGTGGTATGCCAGGGTCACGTGCAGCTGTTTCTTATGGGGCTCCACGTGCACTTCTGGAAAAGGGAAGGTAGCGTTCGGGGATTAGAACGAGGACAACACAGCAAGGAGGAGACAGAAGAAAGGGCACAGAAAGGCGCCCTCAGACGCCCTGTCCCCCAAGTGACAAAGCAGAGAATTAAATGGGTGGGCCCCAGACCCCGAATCAACCGCTGTTCCAGAGATAAAAAAAACCCACACACCAGATGGCTTTTCTGCAGGAGCTGTGGATGGGCTCCGGTTAACCCTTTTGGCTGACTTCTCCTGGCAGGTCCAGGGTTCATCATCAGTCCCACCATTCAGGTAAAGAAAACCGAGGCCTAAAGGGCCAACGTGACTGATGTGGAAATAGAAAGTAGGTTTGGTAACGGCGTGACTGCTGGAGCTATATTGTCTTCATCTGGAACCAAGCTTCCTGGATTCCCGGAGTGTGGCGGGGAAACGAGGAGGGTGAAGGCGGCTTCCCCCCAAAACACTTATGTGAACAGTTCTTTGTGGGGAGCTGTTCTTGCATTGCAGGGTACTATACCCTGCCCTGCTTCTACCCGCTGGATAGAAGCACCCCCAATGTCACAGCAACCCAAAAGAACTCCCCACATCGGCAAATGTTCCCTCAGGGGGACACTGCTCTGGGTTGGGGTCATTTGAAGTGTGCATGGCATTATTCTAGAATGCTAAAAATAAAGCAGAACAAATCTACCAATGCAAGGGACGAGTTTCATCTCCTCTTTGTATGTTACACGAGGAAGACCTGTCTGCTTCCCAGGTGAGAACAGTGAAGAACCGGCAACAAGAAGAAATGAAGGGACATAGAGCAGGAAGCTGCTCTTTTGGGTTTTGCTTTTCTTCCATTATACTACAGGGTGTTTCTGTGGAGCGAGCCCACAAGACGGGTGTTTGTAAGTTTTCACTATTCTTTCTGGGTCTTCAGTTCTTGCTGATGAAACAAAAGCATGTGGGCGAGTCTTCTTGAGCCACCAAGAATGAAGAACGACACTAAATATACTTTTGGAGGAATCTGGGTGAACCAGTAATTCTCACTACTCAGGCTTGAGTTCTAGGGCAAAGACATAATGACCTACTTTCCACAAAGCTAGACCAGCTGTGTCAGGGCCACCCAGTTCTGACGTTCACCACCAGGGGGCACCACAGAGACAGAGCCTTTAAACCACCAAGTTCTTTGTGATCGTAGATTTCTTGGAGAGGGACTAGCAGTCTCATTTCCACATGGAAAACAAGCTCTTTGACTGTCTCTTACTCCATGTGCACTTTAAGAATGGGCCACAGCCCTGCTCTCTGATTTGTAAAGGATGCAGGGCTTTTGGTGGGTTGACAATAGGGGGATCAAGAAAAAAAATTCCCCAAGGACAATGGATAAGAAGACAGGTGATTTTTCTCCTTGTTATTCTATCTCTTTGAAATGTTCCATCTCTCTGTTGAATCCAGGGAGAAAGGGGTTCTCAGAAGGGGATCCCAAGCCACGGGGAGGGTCTTAGGGACCCACAGTCCTGAGGGCAGACACGCCCTGTGACCTGCAGCTCAGCAGTTGCTTCTTATTACTCTTCCTAGATCCCAAGCTCTATGTGGGGGCGTCTCTGAAGAAATGTCAGCATCGAGGACTAGCACCCTACGGGAAGGTACCGCTGAAGGTTAGGAGCCAAAGGAGTAAGTAAGTTCTGTGGCTTGGATCAGTCATCCCTAAACGTGAGGCTGGGGCGCTACAGGCGCCCCCCAGCTTCTCACTCAGCACTTGGATTCAGGGGCTGGGGATGCAGCTCGACTGGGAGAGCATGCATGAAACCCTGGATTCCATCCCTAGGACCAGGCAAAACCAGATGTGGTGGTGCGCAGCTGGAATCCCCGCACCCGGAATCCCCGCACCCAGGAGCCAGACACCGGAGGATCAGAAGTTCATGGTGCAACCTTAGCTTCACGAGGCTAAGCCTGGGCTACACGAGACCCTATCTCAAAAATAAACTGTACAGTAGAGTGATCCGCTGGAGCAACACTCTTCAGCTTGCTGTTTTCATGACTTACTATAAAGTGGCTCCACGCCACTGTGCCCCGTGCTACGGGACCAAACGGCCAGGCCCAGACAAAAGCACGCATGGCTGGGAGCTTAGAGGATGAAAGGGAGTCCTCTTAGATGTGGACTGGAGGAGATGGAGACACTACAAAGGGTGACATTTATAGCTTAGCGGGAGCAGTTAAGTCCCTGGGAGGCATGGAACACGGCATGGGCAGGCTCTTCAGTAGGTTAGCGGGACAGAAAGAAGCCCAACATTTCACGAGGGATGTGGGGCGTGCTTCGCCACCCGGGTCCGTTTCTACACGATCCTCCACCTCGGGGCTCCAGCCCTCTCCTCTGCAGACGTTACCATCTGACCTTCAAAGTCCCCATATGTCATATGTGGAAGGCTTGGTCACCAACCTGTGATATCACAGGGAGGAGGTGAATCTTTCAGGGGTGGACCCTATGGGAAGAACTTAGGTTATCTGGGATGCCTCTGAAGAGGACATTGGGACCCCTGCGCTTGTGCTCACTCCTGCCTGTTTCCTGGCCCCCTTCAGGTGAGCAGCTTTCTCTATGCACTCCTGCCTGATGTTCCGCCTCACCACAGGCCAACTGGTTATCGTGCCAACCACCACTGGCTGAAAACCGAGGGACCATGAGCCCAAATACATCCTTTCCTCTTTGTAGGTTGACTGTCACACACCCATTCCCATCCCTGTCCCTTTGAGCTCTCTGAGCTTGGGATCCAGGACCACGCAGACAGCCCCGTGGGGATTTACCCGTTTTGGAGGCAGCCTCCGCGGCAAAGTCAGCCGCGAACTTCTTGAGGACCTCGGCGCTGTCTTCCTTGACGAAGAGCCCGATGAAGTTGGAGGAGGTGTAGAGCTCCAGCGGCAGTGGGGCGGAGAACTTGCATTTCCAGCGACTGACGGTTGTCTGCAGGGCCTCCCCCAGCGCGTCCACCTTGCTGTCCTCGCACTGGGGACAGAATACAAGCAGGCTTCATTACAGCCCAGGAGACAGAGAGAAGCCTGCCGCCCCTCAGCGCTGAGCACCGTGTCAGTCCCCAGAGAGCTGAGGCTGATCACTACGATTACTTAACCAGCACTCCTGTCCACCAGGGAGGGAAAAGCTGCAGGCTCTCAATTAGCCAGACACTGATTATCCAGTGGGCACACGAAACTAGGGAATGCACCATGACATCTCTCTCCTTGCTCTGTGGTGGCTCCTGGGAACCTTGCCAGGCTGTCATGGGATTGGTTAAGTAGAAAAAAAAAAAGGCAGGGTTGGGGCTGAGGTGGTTGGTTAAAGGAAACACAATTTCAGAGGAGGTCATAGAAGCATGGTAACAATAGCTGGAAACAATCAATGCGATGTACACTTGAAAACTGTTAAAAGGAAGATTTTAGGGCTGGGAACGGGGCGCAGTGTTAGAGTTCGTCCCGAGTATGCAAGAGGCCCTGAGCTCAACCCACAGACCCAAAGGAAAGCAAGGAGAGGAAGGTGGTAGCTGGCCAAGTTCTTAGAGCAGATAAACAATGACAGCAGGAAGCGTATATAGGGTTAGCTCAATTAGATTCTATAATGCATGCATACATCAAACAGTCATGCCATATACCATAATCTGACAATTAAATAAAAAGTTCTTGGGCCTGGGGAGGTGGCTTGGAGGTTTAGAGCACGTGTTGCTCTTGCAGAGGCCCTATGGTCAGTTCCCAGCACCCACATGGTAGCTCACAGCTGTCTGTAACTCCAGCTCCAGGGGATCCAATCAATAACCTGCTCTGGCCTCTGTGTGTACCAGGCATGAAAACAGTGTACAGACACACATGCACACCTATAGACATAAAATAAAATGTTAAAAAACAAAACCCAGAGGTTGGAGTAGAAGAGATAGCTCAGTTGGTAGAGTGCTTGTCTGGCATTCGGGAGGCTGAGACTCCATTCCATCTCCAATACCACGTAAAACTGGGTGGGGGCGGGTAACATATGGGCTGTGTTAGGGCCACATCTGAAAACCCAGCACTGAGGAAGTGAAGAATAGCGTAAGGGCATCCTCAGCCATATTGAGTTCTAGGTTAGCCTGGGATACCTGAGACAGGAAGAGGAGGAAAAGGAGGCAGGCCAGGGAGACAACTCTGTGTGAAGGAGCACTTGTTCTGCAAGCATGAGGGCCTGGGACCCACATAAAACGTCAGACGTCAGATGTCACACACGCTGCAGGCACTCGTAAGCCAACACAGGAAGGCTGAGATGGCTGGAGTCTGCCAGCTTGCTAGCCAACCAGCCTACCCCCCACAAAAGCGAGGCTCCAGTTCAGTCAGAGACCGTGCTTCAAGGGGTGGAGGGAGGAGGCTGCCTGAGAGTCAGAGGAGGGGAGTGGGGTGGGGGCAAAGGAAGACACAAAACACAGCCTCTGGGAGCTCTTTCCGCTGCTCCTCAGACAACCGCCATCTCTACCTCCACTCCCATGATTGTTGGGGAAAAGGAAGAATAAGTCTGGGAGTGGTGATGTCATCCACCTACCCTCTCTGGAGGGCTGGGAGGAAGAACAAGACACTCTAAACCCCTGAATGCTTTTCTGCAAGATCCTGGCGTGACTAAGAGGAAGTGACAACTGATTTAATTCTCAGAGTGACTTGAGAGAGACAAGGTGTTAGGAACACGTCTTCTACCTGAGACACACACAAAGAGAGGCTATGTTCCAGGGGGTGGCAAAGCAAAATGTATTTTGAAAATTGTTTGATAAGGCTACCATCCTGTTTTCGTGTGGAGCGCATGTGAGTAGGTAGATGCCATCACCGTGAGAGCGGAAGCAGAGGACAAATACTTCAAACATCATAGTACAGAGGATTGACTTAGCACCTCAATAAGCTTTCCCATAGACAGCAGAGTGCAGAAAAGGAACCGTGGCAGCCAAGGGTTATCTTTCAGTCTCCAGAAAAGCCTAGTAAGACCTTGTAGTGCTGCCCACGTAGGTGGAGTGGATTTTCTTGTCTGTACCACTTATTTTATTCCCCAGTCTTTCTGTTTTTACCCCTGTCTGCCCTGACAGCTGGCCAGGCATGGTATCACGTGCCTGTGATCACAGCACTTGGAAGGCTGAGGCAGGGAGAGCAGGAGTGTCAGGTCATCCTCAGTGAGGTAGCAAGCTGGAAGCTGAGCTACACGAGACTTTGTCTCACAAAATAAAAACAAAGGTGAGGAGGTCATTTGGAGTACACGCCACGTAAGCGTGCATGAGGATGACGTTCAGCTGACAGAACCACATAAAAATGTTGGGTGTGGTAGCATGGCTTGTAATTTCAGCACTGGGGAGGCAGAGCCAGGAGAATCTCTGGGGCTTACTGGCTAGCCAGCCTAGGCTCCTCAGTGAGTTCCAGACTAGACTACAAGGTGGATGGATGGCTTCTGAAAAACAACACCTGTGGTGGATCTCTGGAAAGAGAGAGACAGAGAGAGAGAGAGACAGAGACAGAGACAGAGAGACACAGAGAGAGACAGATAGAGAGACAGACAGAGACAGAGACATAGAGACAGAGAGAGGGGGCAGAGACAGAAAGAGACAGGGACAGAGACACAGAGACACAGAGAGATTGTGACTCCCATCCTATGAGCGGAGCATGCAGACAGCAAGCATGTCTGAAGCCGTGTCATTGACTGTGCAGGTACCAGGCCAGAGTGCCACCCACAAAGGGTCAGGCTTGTTCTTTAGGTCGTGGAAGTACATGGTTGTCCTGATGCACAGTCAGGCGTGTGGCGCTGGAGCGAGGCCCTCACTATGGACCACAGCAGCATGGACTCCTGGGAGGCCCACGCAGTGCTGAGAGCTCCTGAGCATTTCCTCAGTCTTCTGAACAGCTCCTACGGTCAGCCCAGGTCCCCGGGGCTGCCTGGACACTGGAGGGTGGGGAGACAGGGAATGTGATGCCACTCACCATGAAGAACTGGCAGAGGGTGATGTGGGGGAAGATGTTGTGGGCCTTGTTCTTCCCACAGATCTGCTTGGACTGCTGCCAGAAGTCCGACAACTTCTGGGCTAATGGGCCGGTTGGACGGAGGTAGAGGACATACTCCCGAGGCAGGGGGTCATCCAGGAAGGGGTCACCGACATGGGAGAACAACCTGTGAGAGAGAAGAGCGCCCAGAAAGCCTCACTGGAGAACAGTGGACAAGGAGGAACAGAAGAGGCAGGCCCCTCCCTCGCCACGCTTCGCCTCCTGGACCACACGGAGAAGACTTCCATCTGAGCCATAAAGACCCGCCCCTTGTAGCTTACACTCCCAACCAACTCTCAGATGGAGAGACTTCTGTCCCCCAGAGAGTGGTATTGCCTCCTCATCCCACAACTCTCCAGGAAGCATCCTTGAGCCAACTCTACATCCTGTCCCCACAGAGTAAGTTTCCTTGCATACCCCCCATCCTTCAGCTCCGTCTATGCTGGAGCTCCTGTACCTCTAAAGCGAAAGGGAAGCTCCAGGAAGGGGGCCTGTGGGGGCTTCTCTTGGGAATGACATCCTGACAAATGATTAAGCACGACGGTTTCCTAAATTGGCCAGCCTGGCATCCACACACGTACAGTGAATCTCCAAGTGACTGGCAGGGCTCAGGTAAAGTGAGCCTCTATCTGGGAAGATTCTGAAAACAGATCCAAGGAGATACACACACCCTGGGGCCAGGGCAAAGGAGGCAGGAGACTTGATAAATGGGCCTGTCACATTTGGCTCATCCCCTCCCCCAAGAAGGGTCCATTAGAAAAAGGCTGCACACTCGCACTTCTTACAGACACTCAGAGTTAATTACATGCTATCTTCTCAATTTATTTATTTCATACCAACCAGTCACATGCTGCTTGAACGCTTCTTCCTCCAGTGGATGCCAGCGCTTTTTGTCTGCAAAAAGAAATCAAATATCTATTGTTGGTATTTTTAGCCTTCCTCTCAGCTTCTCTCACTGGGGTGGAGTGGGCAGGGGGCAACATCAGAGTTTGCCTTCCCAGCACTGTTATGTGGCATAGGAGAGAGCCTGCAGCAGGGGCTCCCCAAGGGTCACAGGAAGGCAGATGCAAGTTAGGACTCATCATTAATTTCCATGTAATTAACATCGGATTTGCATGCAGCCTGACATCCATACCGTCTATTTTCAGTTGTTTCCACATTAGGGTTTTATTTTCACTTCCCTAAAAGTTGTCATGTCTGTACTTCTCCTCCTTGATTTTTACCCACTCATTTCCAATGACCTAGATTCCCCTTGCAGAGTGGATTCTTACAGCCCTTGATGGATGGGTGAGGAGGCAGAGGGAACGGACATGAAGATGCAGAGTTAAATGTCTCCAAGGACACTTGGATGAACTCACTTCCTCCTTCTCCAGGCCCCACCCGCCCAGGTGGATCCATCATCTCCAATGATGTCACAGATATCTTTGGGGACCAATAATATTGGATAGAATAGAGATGGGATACCATCAGTTACTCATGGAGAGACTGCTCACAGCCCTCCTGATGGCGAGCTTGTATGTACGGGAGACTCAAAGCTGTGAGGCCCTGCACACAAACTTTCCAGGAGCACTGCAAGGCCGGGTCTGCCAGAGCCACAGAGTTCTGGGTTCTGACCATGCATTCATGCCCACGCACATACAAGTTACTACTCACTATCACCTGTTTCATCAGCACCGTTCTGGGGGCTGGGAACCAGAAGCACATGTCTCTGTCCCCGTGGAATTCAGCCAGGCAGGCAGGAAGACAGGAGCCAGAAGCTAAGTATCTGATTGTACTGGGGGCAAGAGCAACAGAGCGAGCCGGGTATGATGGTGCACGCCTTTCATGCAGCACTGGGGGAAATAGAGATCGGCTTGGCCTTCACAGTGAGAATTCCAAGACAGCCAGGGCTACACAGTGAGACCTTGTCTCAATAATAGCAGTAGTGGAGGTAGTAATAGCAATAGCAGTGACAGCAATGGAGGAAAAACTCAGAGCCCTGGCAACACACTGAGTCTAATGACAGCACCAAAGAGAGGCATTGTGAACTGGAAGGTGCTGACTCCTGGGGGAGGGGGTGGTGGAAGAGACAGAGTGCCTCTACTCTGTCACAGGACGTAGCAATGGATAGTACATGGAGTCTTGAGCAGGGTGGACACATCACAGGTGGCCAGTCAAAGACCGCTTTCAAAACAAGTCATCAATAAGCGATCATTTCTGTCCCCCTTCCATTGGGGTCCACTGGGAAGGAATTCAAATGGAACTGTCAGTCTCTCCAAGCATCCTTTTCCCGTTTGCCTGTGTCACCTGGGTCTTTCTTTCCCTCGTGACCCCTCGCTGGACCACTTAGAACCACGAAGACTGTGAGTCTCTGCATCAGCCTGGGAGGGACCTCAGGCATCACTTGTGAGCCCAGTTTCTTCAGTCCACCAAGGAAAGCTCCAGAGGGAAGAAGTGGAGAAATGGGATTTTCAAAACAGCCTGCCTGAGGCACCGCAGAGCACAGGGCCTGGTGTTCTGTTACCAGCTGAGAACTAAGTCAGGCCTGGCTTTCCTCCTAGCCTGGCTCCCGTGGGACCCCCGCTACCTGGACCAGCACTGTGAAAGACAGGCCTACCACTGAGATGAAGTCCCAGAGGGAAGAGGCAGACCCTGGATGGAAGGAAGCTGGAAGCATAACGCTCTCACCCTCCCACCTCATGCACTTTGAAAGGTGCTCCCTAGCCGAGACACGCCCCCTCCCTATTTTAGGAAGAGAAGCCACGGATACACAAAAGCCCACCGGTTGTGGGGAGCTGGCGGCTAGAAACTCGAAAGGATTAAATGTCTCCCAAACGACCCATTGTTCCAAAAAACAACTGGAATGAGGAAAACTCATTTTCAGCCCAGACAATGTGCTATCTATATAAAGCATCCACTCTCTTTTTCTTGCACCCTTCCCCCAGTGAAATATATCGGACTGAAATTTAATTTATTTCTTTGGAGGAGCCACGAAAATCCTTGGGAAATGAGAGATCTAATTAAGTTACGGTCTCCCTAACTTAAAAGACTTGTTTTGGAGAAGGTTCAAAGGGAAAGAAAGGAGAGCTAATGAAAGATTTGAATGTGATAAGTCTGCGATAAGAGTTAAGGAAACCCAAACAGTTCCTTTTGGAGAAGACAAGACTGACCGCTTTCATTCGGTGGAAGGGTATCACATGTAACACACCCTCTCTAGAGAGGGTTAGCTGTGATGGCTACAGCACAAAGGTCCCTGGGGGCCTCAAGAAAGAACCGTCTCGAAGAAATATGTCTTAGACACTTTGTAACCTTCATTTTCAGATCTATTTTACGCGTATGTTTTGTCTGCATGCATGTGTATGGACAATGTTCATGCTTGGAAGATGGTATTGGGTCCCACAGACCTGGAGTTACGGATGACTGAGAGCCAGCAAGCGGGTGCTGGAAACAAACTCGGGTCCCCTGGAAGGGCAGCCAGTGCTTTTAACCGCTAAGCCATCCTTCCAGCGACCCCGCCCCTTCTTGGGGGGATGGTGGTGAGGTCAGAAGACAACTTGTAGGGGTTGGTTCTCTCCTTCCATAAGTGATTCAACTCAATTTGTCAGGCTTTGTGGGGAACACCTTTACCCACCGGTCCCTAAATGTATTTCTAAAGGTTTCTGGAAAGTATTTATACATCTGAAGCAGAGTGGTGAAATTCCCTAGGAAGGGAAAACCCCAATCCTACGAGGCCTGGAGGCCCAAAGCAAGCTGGCTACAGTTGGGATTGAGCATGTTCCCAGAGCTCAGCCCACAGAACAGACAGCCGGGGAACAGTGGCAGAGGACTGCTCAGCTCTGCTGAGTGAGTTGCCATAGTGCGACACCCCCACGGCCCACGCCCTGGGGCCAATGCCAAGGGCAAGTGGGAGTGTGCCGAGCACAGCCAAGCATCTGCTCCGCTCAGAGCAACCAGAGGCCGGCAGGAGGCTGACTTCAGAGTCTGCTGGAGACCTCAGCAGATGGAGCTCCTTCAGCCTGGAGTGTGGGAGTCCAGTCCCACCCTCGAGGCTCAGCGGGACACAGCAGTGGGTAGGATGGCCTTGGAGGAAGGCCTCACCGGAGACCAGTAAGTGGGACAATCCAAGAGTTCCTGATACTCTGTCACGTGGAACACCTCAGTCCTAACTGACATCTAGCATTCATTCGTAGCACCAAGTCTCCTGACTACTCAGAGGGGGACCAGCACAGGTGACGCAAAGGCAAGGACTGATGGACACGCCAAACAGGCCACTAAGAGAGCTCTGGTCACTGGGAGGAGCCAGTAGAGCCTCCAACCAACTACTTGTGGTGGGCTCTGCTGGGAGTCCTCCCACAGCTCCCAGCTCCTGGGATCTTCAGATCTTTGGATGTGGAGGGCATGCCCCAAGGCCACGCTTTAGAAGGAGGTTTACCCTTCCTGCTGGTTTGCCTGTGACAGCGTCTCTCCCTTCTTCCTCCTCTTTCTTCCTCCCCTCAGCCCTTCTCCATCTCCCAGTCCCTTCCTTCTTTCCTTCCTTTTGGTGTCCTCTCACCTGCTGTCTGGAACTCTGAAGGGAACCAAATGAAAACGAAAAGCCTCGCTGAAGGTCTGCAGTGCTGCTCTCTGATTGGTGGGCATCTTTCAGGCCTCTGGTTCCCTTGGCTGACCGAGGCTGGTGTCATTTCCAGACTCCACCATACGCTCTGTTCTCAACTCCCTCAGACTATACTCCATGTTACTCTAGGACAGTAGTTCTTGACCTTCCCAACGCTGTGACTCTTTAATACAGTTCTTCATGTTGTGGTGACCCCCAGCCATAAAATTATTCTGTTGCTACGTCATAACTGCAATTTTGCTACTATGAATTACAAATCGTAATGTAAATATCTGTGATTCAGGAGATGTGATATTCGACCCACAGGTTGAGAACTGCTGCAAAGTCACTGTGCTAAACTTGAAAATGAACCATGAAAGATCTTCAGTGTTCTGAGGGAAGTGGCAATCTTCTCTGACCCTTGGGCATCATGGAAGCTACAAGCTCAAGCAGCATACTCACTGGAACTTGACTGGAATCCCCTATTTTCTTGCCCTAGGAGTGGACCCCCTCAGCTGCTGCCCTGGTTCTGTGGAATCTCATTCTGGGCTCATACCCTACTTCTAGTTCAGGTCTCTTGAACACAACACCTACCAGGGTCTGAACAGTTACGGGTATACAGAGGGAGAAAGCAGTGGCCTTGCTGGTAGAGGGTTCACATAACAAGAGACACGCAAAAAGGAAAACAGAGGCAAAGACCAGACAAAGAAGGACACCCACAAATGTCTTCTCAGAGGTGAACAAGGGCTGTGGCTAAGCTCAGGTAAGGGGTAGTCTACCTCCACAGTGGGGAGTCCCGGGCTCGAACACTACATCACACCACCCTACGACATTAAATTAAACTCAGAGGTGCCAGGGGCAGTTTTAACGAGCTTTGGGGAAAATGGCGATGGTCTTCACTCAATGGCCATCACACAAGCTACTAGCTCAAGGCAGCTACTAGCTCTGAGCATCAGCTGCACCACACTCCTCCAGACTTCATCTTTGTGAAGCTGGAGTTCTGACAATCACTATAGCAAAGAGTGGGGACCAAACCAAGAATAACCATAGATGCCAGGGGCGGAGGCCAGAGCATCATGTAAGTGCTTAACAGGCACCATTCCCTCTTAGGGCTCCAGTGGCAGTCTGAGCTCTGTAGAGGGCAGATCAGCAGGCTGTCCAAAGGCAGGGGCGCTGGAAAGGGTGTTTGAGGTGCTGGACAAAGCTGCCGTGCCACTGCAAGACACTGAGAGCTGAATCCACACTGGAGACTGCTCTGAGGGAGAGCACAGGACAGACAGAATTCTGACAGAATTCTTTGGGGCGGGGATGATAGGCCAGG